CTGCCCAGAGCCAGCAGACGGAGCAGACTGAAACTCCTCCACCTGACGGAGCCGTCTGCACAGAAACAACACACAACAGTTACCGACAGAACGTCTGTTTGCTGCTGCAGGTGGAGCGATTGTTATCTGACCTCCAAGATGAAATTCTGTCGGATGATCTGTTTCTATTTATAATCTTCCTGTCGCTCATTTTGAAAGAATCATGATGGATGAGGAATATCAGCTGATTCATGAAGTTAAAATGAGGGATTGTCAACATGACACCTCCTCCTTACACCACAACAACCAACAACCTTATGCTTCGGCACTGAATCAACACTGTACCTACGCCGTAGCCTGACGTGCACCTCCCCATTAATATAACTCCACGTCACAGTGACACAGACCTCCTGTCTGTCTCTGTGAGCTGAAACCATTTCCCTCAGTGGAAACAAAGCTTTGATTTACTTTAATTTCACAGATAAGAAACAATAAATTGTGAAGACAATAAAGCCTCCACTTATTTTGCATTTTAAGTCTTGTGTGTGATTTATCCTGGCTTTATATGAGCAGAGGAAATCTCTGCTAGCTGCTAGGCTAATTTATACAATGTAAAATGCCATAGGCTTGTGCTAATAACGTTAGCATGTTGTATTTGTTTGGAAAATGTGTCCAGATAAAGACAAGTGTTTGTCTGTGAATGCTGCGAGTTATAGTGAAGCTGATTTGTGTTTGAAACTGTCTCTATTAAGCCATGTTTAATGTGTGTTTACTGTGTGTTTTGAATCAACTAAACTTTACAGCACTTCACAGAAACTCTGCCGCCGACTAGTGTTTTGGAGGTGTAACTGCAGAGTGACACAGACACACCACCACACAAGTATAAATGCTCACAACAGTGTAGGCTCTGCCACAGAAGTATAAATCCTGCTTACGGTGTCAGCTGATCAGCAGGGAGCTGAATGTTTCTGCTAAATGACCATCGCTAATAACAAGCTAGGCTAAACTAGACAGCAAGCAGGATACTAATCCATCTTTTAAATGGTTCCTCTCTGGTGTGATCTCCAGCATGGAGCTGATAGCTATGTGGTTTTTTTACATGATGTGACAGAAGTGCATATTGAGAGGCTGTTTTTGCGCCTTCAAATTCACTGTGTTAAATGTAGACACACAGCAGGCGCGCTCAAACGTCACAGGGATGCCGTCGTGACGCACAAGCACTCCTGAGCACCGATTTTTCAGGGCGTGACAGCTGTGCCCTGAAAAACTGAGTTTAACATCTGGAACTCAGCAACACACACAGCATGTTCATGTGACGAGGAACAACCAAACACAGCCGACACATATCTTTCCCTTCTACTGTAAAAATAATTCTGTGATAAATATCAAGAAGCTGAAGCTGTCAGAGCGTTACATCTGTCCCACAGACAACATTTCAGTCCTACACTGTGAACTCCCAACCCATCCATGACACAAGCTTTAATGTGAAGTCAACACAGATGCTCCTGCTTGTCAAAATGACAGAAAAACTTTATGTTCACTCAACACAAAAACTCACCACTGTGAGCTAGACGTAACTTTTTAATGATACATCAGTCATTTTTGAGTTTTGTGTACGGCCCCTTACTGGATTCAGCACAGCTCAGGTGTCACATGATGCTACCTGACAGTCAGAAGCTAGTTTTCTGTAGACACGGTGTCATTATGTTCCACTCAGGAGCAGCTGCTTAGTCCTGCGGGTCACTCGGTCTAGTCCAGCTTTTTATCTCAAAATGTTTCCACCAGCCCGACTTGATGTCGTACCTTTGTCGTCCTGGGTGAAGCAGTAACTCCTCAGCAGGTAGATGCCGTAGGCCGGAGCCACGTACAGGTAGATGTGCTTCAGGTTGAGCAGGACGGAGAACAGCAGCGCCCCCTGCAGGTGACGGGACTGTTCCACACAGAACAAACACTGTGAGGAGCATTTTTATATCAAACATTTAGAGACCCTTTCAAAGTAAGAGCGTCAGGTTGGTACCTGCAGGTGTTTCGCCACCGACAGCAGCAGGAAGCCAAACAGGAAGCCGTTATACTGGAAGTGAATGTCTGAGGGAAACTGTGAAGGAAGTTTCAGATTCATCATCATGACTGACGGTCGATTTAATCTCTAACACCAGAAAACAATGTGAGGATATGTTAACTATATGAAACCAAAGCTTCAGCGTCACAAAAACGATGTTCTGATGGAAAATTAAAGTTAACATTTGAAACCTGATCCTCATTTTAAACTGCGCTCTGGTGTCGTAGCTGAAGGATACGATCGACGATGAGGAGGCCGAAGTTCCAGAGCAGCAGGACAGCCAGGATGAAGGATGAGCGGTTCAAAACGTCCCGAGAACTTTTCTGCTCCTGAACACACCTGCAGCACCTGGAGGAGGACACAACCAATCAGGATCGAGCTACTGGGAACATCATGTGGGACATTTTGACTTGATGCAGTGGAGGTTTATTCAGTGGCTCATTTTGTTATGTTTCTGAGAGAGAATGCGTTCAGTGTTTGTCGTCGTCTGATAATGTGACGTGACACAACAGTTTAAACCTTCGTGCTGTGACTGACAGCAGCTCTGTGAGGTCTGTGCAGACTGATAATAATAAAGGTCGAGTAGCGATCGGACTCACTCTCTGGCAGCGTAGATAAAAACCACGTCAGTGAAGACGACCGACAGCCTCTGGAAGAGGACGGTAGCCGGGCTGGCGTAGTTCAGATTCTCCACCTGCAGCATGTTTCTGTCAAAGTGCTGAGCAACGTGAGACAGACCAAGCTCGAACCAGGCGAACAGCGGAGGGTAGTCCAGAGTCCACTCCGACGTGTTCTGAGGGGAAGAGACCTTAAAGTTTACTGATCTCTCAGAGGACCGTGCTGCTCTGCAACACTGACTTTAAAAGAATGAATGTATTACGTGGTAGCTTTATGGTAAATGGTTAACAGGATGTAGGAAGGGTCACTTCCTGTCTGAAACAACAACATCAGAGTGAGACTGACCTCATGGTACCACCTGGACACCGGCAGACTGTGTGTGATCGCCAACCAGTTCCTGTGCACCTCGAAGTCTGTGGAGTGACTGACAGACACACAGAGTTCACTCAGTGGAGCCAACAAACACACCGAACAACAGTCACACTAAACAACAGTCACACCGAACAACAGTCACAATGAACAACAGTCACACTAAACAACAGTCACAATGAACAACAGTCACACTGAACAACAATCTCACAGGACAACACTATTTGGATTTTATGCAGTTTTATGTGTCCAAATACTATTACTACTACTAATAATAGTAATAATCCTGACTATGCTGATGTACTCAGTTATGTTTTTTGACATGTGCGCTGGCTAATAAGCAAGAAATCTTTGAATTGTGAGATTTTCTGAAGAGGTTTGGTTGAAAAATAGATAACATGTACTTTCTGAAGACAAATAAAACCACAATACATAACGCTGTAGTTGTTGAATTAATGCCGAAATTACCAGCAGTTAATCCTGACTCTACTGATGTACTCAGTTATATTTTTTGACATGTGTGCGATGGCTAAAAAGCAAGAAATCTTTAAATTGTGATATTTTTCTGAGAGGTTTGGCCTTAACAGAAATAAAACATTGCACTTTATATTTCCACCGACAATAAAACTCCACACAGATTCTGATCGCACGAAACAAAGCAACAGTGACATGATTATTCAAATACGTGCACAGCAAATGTCTCATTATGTCACTTAAAGTTAATAATCTGTGTGAAACTTTTCAACTCAGCTTCAAAACGAACTTCTAATAAAAACGGCGCCATCTTGAGGCGGTTTGGCTACATTAATCTGGAAGTTAATAACACGTCAAGTTATCACTCGTCACTTTATATAAAGTCTAAAATAACAAACTGATACACACACATATATATACATGTTTCCATGACAACTCTATCACATCCATGCACAAGCAAGCTCCTAACGTTAAAGTTGAATTTAAAAACAGTATTTTCCGGCTTGTAGCTAACGTTAGCTGCTCAGTTTGCTAGCCGGATGCTAACAGGTGTCGCGGCAGATTTTAAATTTTCTCTCTGTAAAATGAAACAATCGTCCTGAAGCTGCAGCGACGAGTGAAACTGCTTCACATCAAAGTATCGACACTCACTATGCACTGATAAACAGACATTTGAGGAAAGAAACTCCCAGTGCTAACGCTGGAAACCAGCTCCAACTCTCCACCGCCGCCATGACAGTGACGTCACTGACTCTTTTAACAAAGCTTTATTGAGAGGCTCGGTGGCGGACACTGTGTAAACTGAACTTCCGTTTACACGACAAGTTTTTACAAACAAATAATCGTCTGATAAAAAGTAACAGCTGCTGATCGATGACTGTGAAGCTGTTTTCGTTTTCAGATTTTTAAATAAAGTTATTTTCTCATGACAAAATGACAGTGACGTCATCGTGTAGATGCCTTTACGATCTCTTCTTAAAGTCAGGAATTCTTACAGCTGTTGTAGTTCAGTGGGCCACAGACCTGTGGTAGGAATAAAGTTTTCATTGAGATCCTTGGCTTCAGTAAAAGTACAAATATCACATTTCAAAAATACTCTATTACAACTAAAATTGGGGGAAATGAGTAAATATTATCAGTATAACTTTATGTGTAAATGTTCTCTGTGTTCCAATAAATCATTACTGATACATTCACATGTTGTTTACATGTGAATGTATCAGTAATTTACTTTACTGTTGGAACTCTTTATATTATGACATGTATGTTATATATATCATTATACACTGTTTAATGGTTTCATTTGCTTTAAAACAAAAACAGACACAAAACAATAAAATCACATTTTACATGACTGATAAACATTTTGATCACTACTCATTGTTTAACTGTAGTAGTAGCAGTGTTGATGCGACCGCAGTAATTGTCAGCATTCTGACAGTACCTGAATGCAGCATCAGTACACTACGGTCTGTTAACTTGTTGTTGAACTTCCTCGTGCCGTAAGACTGTTTCCGGTGTGTAACCAGCAGCTGGAGTGTGTCTGTAGTTTACTGTTGGAGAAAACTTTAAAGAAAAGATGAACGCGCTGCTGCGGCGGGTCGGAACATGGAGAGGTGAGTACTCTGATTACTCTACTCACACCTCAGTACTCTCACTGTCAGACACACGGAGCCAATGAGCTCACAGCTTCACTTCAGGAGGAAATAATGAACTTTATTAAAGGTGAAGAGGAAAAAACATCTTGTTACACAAAGTTGGTGAAGGTCATTAAATGTCACGGTCACAACTTATATATGTGTGTGTGTGTGTGTGTGTGTGTGTGACAGGGTTCCATGTATCAGCGCCGGCGGCGACCTTTGACCTGAGGAAAGTGGAACTGACGCCTCTGGAGCAGCGAAAACTCACCTTTGACTCCCACGCCATGGTGACGGAGCTGGAGAGCAGCGGTGAGAGCAATTCATCAATCGATCGATCGACCGATCAGTCAATCAGTGAATCAATAAGGGAAATAAAATGTGACAAACATTTAATCACATTCACATTGAAACAGTTATGTTCGTTTCCTGAGAGATTATAATTATGATTTTTTTTTTTAAAAATCATAAATTATTTTAAAAAAAAACACACAAACAAATCAATATTTTAAAACACATTTATAGGCCGTAAGGTGAATCAGAAAAAGTCTCACAGAAACTGATTTCCGCTCCGACATCTGGGGACTACACGATCTTTACTTCATAAAAAAGATCGATACATGTTCAGCTAATCAGCGGGAGTTCGTAGCTCATAACCCTGCAAGAGTCCTGTGATCGGGGTCGTAATTTGGCACTTGTTCTGTCTGAGCATATTGATCTGTTCCGCCTGAGCGTAATGAGATTTGGTACGCGAGTGGTGGCATGGCCGTCACGTGATCGCGTTACACCAATAAGGTACCCGCATTTCGTGTCGCCATGGTTTCATTCAGCAGAGGAAAACAGACCCGGAAGTCCTTAAAAGTGAGCAGAAATGAGCTGAAACAGCGCTATTCACATCGCCGTGTCCATGAAACACGATGAGACAAATAGACAATAAGGTGAACTAAGCAAAAATGTCTTAAAACACATTTGATTCAATACCTGGGCATAACCGACGTATTATTACATAGACAACATAGCTGTCCAGTAGCTAGCTACGGAAGACGAGAACGGCCATGTATTTTTTATTTTTTTGTGTGCACTGTTATCTCGTGATAACAAAGATTGTTTTCCCGTGATAATTGTCAAGTCTGATGATTGCGCACTGGTTAATGTGATCGTCTTGATTTCAGCCTACAAAAGCTGCCGTGGTCCTGCCAGATGCCTCCTGCTGCTGCTGTTATCATTAGTCACACTTATGCTGTTATTATACACATATGATTATTGTCACATACCGTATATTTCCAAATAGTCGCCGGGTGGCATACAGCAGCAGGGCACCTAATAGCCGCCGTGGGTTTGACCCCATTTTGCGTATTAAACGCAGAGGCGATTATTTCCTCATTCATAGCCCTTGCTAGCTGCTCTCTCCCTGCCTGCAGGGCTGTCCCTCCTTGCGGGGTTATGAGCTACGAACTCGATCTGTATCAATCTTTTTTATGAAGTAAAGATCGTGTAGTCCCCAGATGTCGGAACGAGATGAAATGATAACTGTGTTCACCTTACGGCCTATTAAAAATAGAAAAAAATCCAGTCTTTTACATAAGTTTAAGAAAGTGAAATGTACTTTTAGGATGGAACAAAATTACAACACATTTGTTTTAAATTGTGTTGATGAATCATAATTATGGAATAAAAAAAAATGAACAAAATATAAAAATATGTAAATATTTTTTTTTTTTCAAAATAGAAATGTATAAAGTGTAATTTTTAAAAAAGTTTTCAATGTAATTTTTTTAAAGGCGCTGTATGTAAGAATGTGGCCAAAACAGTTACTGCACTCAAATTCAAAATACTGCCGCGAGTCGTGTCCGCCCCCCCTCCCCTACAGATTCGAGGTTGCTGGACAGCGGCACGCTGGAGACTGATTTGTTTGCCCACGGGCGGCTGCCGTGGCAGGGCCGCGTCGCCGTGTTCTTGATCTTCGGTTTTCCAGCGGACTGTTCGAGCAAGTCTGGCTTCTCTGCTGCTAACGCTGCTGCTGGGATACAGCTGAGGAGGAGCCGGCTGCTAATGCTATGTACCGGGACACTGCTAATGCTGCTTGCCGTGCTGCTGTAGCTCAGTCGTAACTGTAACTGATGCTGAGACTCTACTGACTGTGTGACTGGTAGACGGCGGTGGGTGGCGCAACAGGCCAAAACACAAATTCAAAACATAAACATGATTTGCGGACTGAATATGAACATTATTCCTTAGTCTCTGTGACATATTAGGAGGATTTTGCGACTGTTTGCTTTAGATTTCTTACATATAGCTCCTTTTTTTAAATTGTTTGATGTTTAACACAAATATGGAATTTTTTAAAAATCATAAGTTCTTAAAAATACAAAACTGTTTTGAAATGTTTTTCAAAAATATCAGAAATTAATTTTAAAATAGAAAAAACAATCTTTATAGGATGGAAAAATAAAGAAAAATAATTTAGAATTTTGAATAATCCAGTCACTGATATAAACCTAAGAAGGTGAAACGTTTGTATGTGAACATGTCGTCCTCCGCCTCTTCAGCCTCCATCACACTGTAGAAATGTAGATTTATTTTTTCTGTGCAGGTTTTGAGAAGCATCAGGCGGAGCTGATAGTCTCAGCTCTGGTTACCTTGACGACAGCAAACATGGACATCGTTTATAAAGACATGGTGACCAAATCACACCAGGTGGGAACTTTAAATAAAGTTTGATTTGGAACTTTTAGAACAAAAGTCACAGAAAGGATCGGAGTATTTGTTCAGGACGCTCAGTTGTTGTTGTTGTTGTTGTTGCTGCAGGAGATCGCGGTGCAGCAGATCTTCGCCCACCTGGACTCCATCAGGAAGGACATGGTGATCCTGGAGAAGAGCGACTTCGCCAACCTGCGATCTGAAAACAGCGTATGACCAGAGACACGCCCACATCTGTCACTGTCAAACTGACCCTCACCCCTCACCGCCTGTCGCTCAGGAACAGTTTCCTGAAACTGTTTAATGACCTACGGGATCCAACACGGGACAAAATCTGGACGTCAATACAAAAAAAATTAAAAACTCTTAATTTAATTTAAACTACAACAAAATACAACAACACAAACAGTAAATTAGATCGTTAAATATTTACGTCTCTTCCAGTTAACGATCTTTGTGTCAGGTATTATATCAGAGTCACGTCCAGAGTTCACGTTCAGCAGACCATCGGTCAACACCAGCTGAGTTTCCTGCAGCTTTTTACGCACCAAACGTGGCTGTTAGCGACCCGCTGCTGTTGTTTGTGTCGGGATAGTGCTGCGAAAAGTTGTTGTTGAAACATCTCTGCGTTTCCTGTCGGGATGGTGCGACAATACCGTGTATTTTACGCCCAAACATGATCTCTTCCATAACCAGGTGGTTTTTGTTCCTAAATCTAACCGCACATTAAACATGCTCAGCGTTAGTGAAATATAAAGTTTCTACATAATGACGTACAAATTTAATGTATTCATAATTTGCAGAAAATAACAGTCAATAACATTTATTTAATCTTTAAATCTGAAAATAAAAATTCACCACAGATTAAACATTTTATTAAAAACACGAAGGAGATTTTGTGCGAAAGATTCTGTGACGATGTTTTTGACCTCTTTGTGTTTTAACTCTTTGTTTTCTGGCAGAAAATGAAGCGGGAGCTGGAGCAGCTGCAGAACAGACTGAAGGTCAGAAAGTGTTTTTATAAAGTGTGTGTGAGCGCTGCGACAGGAAGTGAAGCTCTGACGTGACTTGATGTTTTTGTGTCCAGGAGGAGAGTCAGAAACTCAGAGCAGAAACCAAACTGGACATCAACCTGCAGAGCAGCAGGATCTCAGACATGGTGAGACAGTGCTTCCTCCTCTCCTTCCCTCGCCTCCTCTCCTCACCTCTCACTACCTCCTGACTGGGATGAGACTGGAGGAGGAAAGGAGGAGATGAGGAGAGAGGAGACAAGGCAACAGGCATTTCAGCCAGTGTGTGACACTTTTCTTCTGTAATGACGACATCATTAGCTGTGTGTCAAGAGAGGAGACAAGGAGAGAAAGGAGAGAGGAAACAAGAAGAGAGGAGAAGAGATGAGGAGAGAGGAGACAAGGAGAGAGGAGATGAGGAAAGAGGAGAGGAGATGAGAAAGGAGATAAGGAGAGAGGAGAAGAGGAGGCAGAATTAGGGTGCATGTCTCACTGAGTGTTTGTGTGTCAGTTCACGGAGCAGGAGAAGAAGCTGATGGAGGCGAGTACGGAGTTCCATCACAAGGTAAATACACACTACTCCTACAACCTAACACCACACCTGTCCCTGTGGCGTCTTGATGACATCATCATGTGTTTCCTGTGGTCAGAAAGCCGACCTGGAACACGACAACATGGAGATCAACAAGAAGATCGACCTGCAGGTGGCGTCACTCAAAACAGTGCTCGAGTCTCTGAAACTGGAGACGATCCGCTACCTCGCAGGTACGTCAATGAGTTCTGTGACACGCACAGGAACAGGAAGTACAGTGTTTACCTGTGACAGGAACAGGAAGTACAGTGTTTACCTATGACAGGAACAGGAAGTACAGTGTTTACCAGTGACAGGTACAGGAAGTACAGTGTTTACCAGTGACAGGTACAGGAAGTACAGTGTTTACCAGTGACAGGAACAGGAAGTACAGTGTTTACCAGTGACAGTTACAGGAAGTACAGTGTTTACCTGTGACAGGTACAGGAAGTACAGTGTTTACCAGTGACAGGAACAGGAAGTACAGTGTTTACCAGTGACAGGTACAGGAAGTACAGTGTTTACCAGTGACAGGAACAGGAAGTACAGTGTTTACCAGTGACAGGTACAGGAAGTACAGTGTTTACCAGTGACAGGAACAGGAAGTACAGTGTTTACCAGTGACAGGAACAGGAAGTACAGTGTTTACCAGTGACAGGAACAGGAAGTACAGTGTTTACCAGTGACAGGAACAGGAAGTACAGTGTTTACCAGTGACAGGAACAGGAAGTACAGTGTTTACCAGTGACAGGAACAGGAAGTACAGTGTTTACCAGTGACAGGAACAGGAAGTACAGTGTTTACCAGTGACAGGAACAGGAAGTACAGTGTTTACCAGTGACAGGAACAGGAAGTACAGTGTTTACCAGTGACAGGAACAGGAAGTACAGTGTTTACCAGTGACAGGAACAGGAAGTACAGTGTTTACCAGTGACAGGAACAGGAAGTACAGTGTTTACCAGTGACAGGAACAGGAAGTACAGTGTTTACCAGTGACAGGAACAGGAAGTACAGTGTTTACCAGTGACAGGAACAGGAAGTACAGTGTTTACCAGTGACAGGAACAGGAAGTACAGTGTTTACCAGTGACAGGAACAGGAAGTACAGTGTTTACCAGTGACAGGAACAGGAAGTACAGTGTTTACCAGTGACAGGAACAGGAAGTACAGTGTTTACCTGTGACAGGAACAGGAAGTACAGTGTTTACCTGTGACAGGAACAGGAAGTACAGTGTTTACCAGTGACAGGAACAGGAAGTACAGTGTTTACCAGTGACAGGTACAGGAAGTACAGTGTTTACCTGTGACAGGAACAGGAAGTACAGTGTTTACCAGTGACAGGAACAGGAAGTACAGTGTTTACCAGTGACAGGTACAGGAAGTACAGTGTTTACCAGTGACAGGAACAGGAAGTACAGTGTTTACCAGTGACAGGAACAGGAAGTACAGTGTTTACCAGTGACAGGAACAGGAAGTACAGTGTTTACCAGTGACAGGAACAGGAAGTACAGTGTTTACCAGTGACAGGAACAGGAAGTACAGTGTTTACCAGTGACAGGAACAGGAAGTACAGTGTTTACCAGTGACAGGAACAGGAAGTACAGTGTTTACCAGTGACAGGAACAGGAAGTACAGTGTTTACCTGTGACAGGTACAGGAAGTACAGTGTTTACCTGTGACAGGAACAGGAAGTACAGTGTTTACCAGTGACAGGAACAGGAAGTACAGTGTTTACCAGTGACAGGTACAGGAAGTACAGTGTTTACCAGTGACAGGAACAGGAAGTACAGTGTTTACCAGTGACAGGAACAGGAAGTACAGTGTTTACCTGTGACAGGTACAGGAAGTACAGTGTTTACCTGTGACAGGAACAGGAAGTACAGTGTTTACCAGTGACAGGAACAGGAAGTACAGTGTTTACCAGTGACAGGTACAGGAAGTACAGTGTTTACCAGTGACAGGAACAGGAAGTACAGTGTTTACCAGTGACAGGAACAGGAAGTACAGTGTTTACCTGTGACAGGTACAGGAAGTACAGTGTTTACCTGTGACAGGAACAGGAAGTACAGTGTTTACCAGTGACAGGAACAGGAAGTACAGTGTTTACCAGTGACAGGTACAGGAAGTACAGTGTTTACCTGTGACAGGAACAGGAAGTACAGTGTTTACCAGTGACAGGAACAGGAAGTACAGTGTTTACCAGTGACAGGTACAGGAAGTACAGTGTTTACCTGTGACAGGAACAGGAAGTACAGTGTTTACCAGTGACAGGAACAGGAAGTACAGTGTTTACCAGTGACAGGTACAGGAAGTACAGTGTTTACCAGTGACAGGAACAGGAAGTACAGTGTTTACCAGTGACAGGAACAGGAAGTACAGTGTTTACCAGTGACAGGAACAGGAAGTACAGTGTTTACCAGTGACAGGAACAGGAAGTACAGTGTTTACCAGTGACAGGAACAGGAAGTACAGTGTTTACCAGTGACAGGAACAGGAAGTACAGTGTTTACCAGTGACAGGAACAGGAAGTACAGTGTTTACCAGTGACAGGAACAGGAAGTACAGTGTTTACCAGTGACAGGAACAGGAAGTACAGTGTTTACCAGTGACAGGAACAGGAAGTACAGTGTTTACCAGTGACAGGAACAGGAAGTACAGTGTTTACCTGTGACAGGTACAGGAAGTACAGTGTTTACCTGTGACAGGAACAGGAAGTACAGTGTTTACCAGTGACAGGAACAGGAAGTACAGTGTTTACCAGTGACAGGAACAGGAAGTACAGTGTTTACCTGTGACAGGTACAGGAAGTACAGTGTTTACCTGTGACAGGAACAGGAAGTACAGTGTTTACCAGTGACAGGAACAGGAAGTACAGTGTTTACCAGTGACAGGAACAGGAAGTACAGTGTTTACCTGTGACAGGTACAGGAAGTACAGTGTTTACCTGTGACAGGAACAGGAAGTACAGTGTTTACCAGTGACAGGAACAGGAAGTACAGTGTTTACCAGTGACAGGAACAGGAAGTACAGTGTTTACCTGTGACAGGTACAGGAAGTACAGTGTTTACCTGTGACAGGAACAGGAAGTACAGTGTTTACCAGTGACAGGAACAGGAAGTACAGTGTTTACCAGTGACAGGAACAGGAAGTACAGTGTTTACCTGTGACAGGTACAGGAAGTACAGTGTTTACCTGTGACAGGAACAGGAAGTACAGTGTTTACCAGTGACAGGAACAGGAAGTACAGTGTTTACCAGTGACAGGAACAGGAAGTACAGTGTTTACCTGTGACAGGTACAGGAAGTACAGTGTTTACCTGTGACAGGAACAGGAAGTACAGTGTTTACCAGTGACAGGAACAGGAAGTACAGTGTTTACCAGTGACAGGAACAGGAAGTACAGTGTTTACCTGTGACAGGTACAGGAAGTACAGTGTTTACCTGTGACAGGAACAGGAAGTACAGTGTTTACCAGTGACAGGAACAGGAAGTACAGTGTTTACCAGTGACAGGAACAGGAAGTACAGTGTTTACCTGTGACAGGTACAGGAAGTACAGTGTTTACCTGTGACAGGAACAGGAAGTACAGTGTTTACCAGTGACAGGAACAGGAAGTACAGTGTTTACCAGTGACAGGAACAGGAAGTACAGTGTTTACCTGTGACAGGTACAGGAAGTACAGTGTTTACCTGTGACAGGAACAGGAAGTACAGTGTTTACCAGTGACAGGAACAGGAAGTACAGTGTTTACCAGTGACAGGAACAGGAAGTACAGTGTTTACCTGTGACAGGTACAGGAAGTACAGTGTTTACCTGTGACAGGAACAGGAAGTACAGTGTTTACCAGTGACAGGAACAGGAAGTACAGTGTTTACCAGTGACAGGAACAGGAAGTACAGTGTTTACCTGTGACAGGTACAGGAAGTACAGTGTTTACCTGTGACAGGAACAGGAAGTACAGTGTTTACCAGTGACAGGAACAGGAAGTACAGTGTTTACCAGTGACAGGAACAGGAAGTACAGTGTTTACCTGTGACAGGTACAGGAAGTACAGTGTTTACCTGTGACAGGAACAGGAAGTACAGTGTTTACCAGTGACAGGAACAGGAAGTACAGTGTTTACCAGTGACAGGAACAGGAAGTACAGTGTTTACCTGTGACAGGTACAGGAAGTACAGTGTTTACCTGTGACAGGAACAGGAAGTACAGTGTTTACCAGTGACAGGAACAGGAAGTACAGTGTTTACCAGTGACAGGAACAGGAAGTACAGTGTTTACCTGTGACAGGTACAGGAAGTACAGTGTTTACCTGTGACAGGAACAGGAAGTACAGTGTTTACCAGTGACAGGAACAGGAAGTACAGTGTTTACCAGTGACAGGAACAGGAAGTACAGTGTTTACCTGTGACAGGTACAGGAAGTACAGTGTTTACCTGTGACAGGAACAGGAAGTACAGTGTTTACCAGTGACAGGAACAGGAAGTACAGTGTTTACCAGTGACAGGAACAGGAAGTACAGTGTTTACCTGTGACAGGTACAGGAAGTACAGTGTTTACCTGTGACAGGAACAGGAAGTACAGTGTTTACCAGTGACAGGAACAGGAAGTACAGTGTTTACCAGTGACAGGAACAGGAAGTACAGTGTTTACCTGTGACAGGTACAGGAAGTACAGTGTTTACCTGTGACAGGAACAGGAAGTACAGTGTTTACCAGTGACAGGAACAGGAAGTACAGTGTTTACCAGTGACAGGAACAGGAAGTACAGTGTTTACCTGTGACAGGTACAGGAAGTACAGTGTTTACCTGTGACAGGAACAGGAAGTACAGTGTTTACCAGTGACAGGAACAGGAAGTACAGTGTTTACCAGTGACAGGAACAGGAAGTACAGTGTTTACCTGTGACAGGTACAGGAAGTACAGTGTTTACCTGTGACAGGTACAGGAAGTACAGTGTTTACCTGTGACAGGTGTATGATGTTAATAAGATGGTATTTGAGATGAAGGTGTTTTCTCCTCTTCCTCACAGCGACGGTGTTCTCCTGCCTCATCATTGCTCTGGGTGTCCACCGCCTGTGGAGGTGAACCGACTCGTCTGACTTGTCTTGAGACTAGACGAAAACTAGTTCCAGTGCAAACAGATTGAAAACGTGTTGCTGCTACAAAACCCTGTACTCTGTAGTACTGGAGTAAAACACAGTTACTTCAAATAGTTTTACTGCAGTACTACAGAGTACAAATACTCTGATACAAGTTGTACTCCATTACTATAGAGTACAAATATTATGACATATGTTTTACTCCAGTACTACAGAGTACAAATACTCTGACACAAGTTTTACTCCATTATTACGGAGTACAAATACTCTGACATAAGTTTTACTCCAGTACTATAGAGTATACATACTCTGACATAAGTTTTACTCCAGTACTACAGAGTACAAATACTCTGACATAAGTTTTACTCCAGTACTACAGAGTACAAATACTCTGACATAAACTACTCTGATACAAGTTTTACTCCAGTACTACAGAGTACAAATACTCTGACACAAGTTTTACTCCAGTACTACAGAGTACAAATACTCTGACACAAGTTTTACTCCAGTACTACAGAGTACAAATACTCTGATACAAGTTTTACTCCAGTACTACAGAGTACAAAAACTCTGATACAAGTTTTACTCCAGTACTACAGAGTACAAATACTCACAAGTTTTACTTTTTATCCTTTGAGTACATTCTGCTGATAATACTTTTGAACTTCAGTAAAACTTGTGTCAGATTATTTGTACTCTGTAGTACTGGAGTAAAACTTGTGTCAGAGTATTTGTACTCTGTAGTACTGGAGTAAAACTTGTATCAGAGTAGTTGTACTCTGTAGTACTGCAGTGAAAGTACTCATTACACAGAATAATTTGAAGAAGTAGCGGTTGAATACCACTAGTGTGAAGTACTTGTGTATATTTACTCACATACTGTATGTAAGTACACTGTTAAAGTACTTGTACTTTAAATACTTCTATTTTATCTGATATTACACATCATACTCAAGTAAAAGTACACAGGTATATGGAGCTTCATGTAGTTAGAGTACGAGCTGTGTACTTTTACTGCTTTGACTGCATGAAGATTACATCAGAGGGATTTATACTGCGTTTTTAAACCACTGCTTCATGTACTCAGTAAATAATCAGAGTACTTTTACCAGTACTGAATATTTCTCTCAGAGATGTAGTGGAATACAAATATTAAGTACTTAAGTATCTGAGTAAACACACTGTGTTCATGAAGAAATGAAAATATATTTCCACATTTTTAAAGAATAAAAACTTTATTTGATGATTTTTTAAAAACTTTGGTTGAAGACGTTTTAGTCAGAAGGAAACATGAATATTTAATGAGCCTGTTAATTTCATTTTTATTTGATTGTGTTTTGATTTGAATTTTAACTGATTTTTGTTTGTTGTGTTTGATTGACTGAGACTGAAGGATCGTTTACACTAAATATTTAATAAGACATTTTGTTTGTGTGACGGAGTGAAGGAGAGTCTGAGAGGGTCAAATGAAATAAACATTTTAAATCAGAAGGAAAAAAACTGCGTTTTTTTTTTTTTTACATAACAAAAAACTGAAAAACTGTCGACTCACTGCTGAGCGGGGAAAATAGAAAGAAAGCGAAAAAGAGACCAGACAGAAAAAAAGATTTAAATAAAGCAAATAAAGGGACAATAGAGGAAGAAAGGAAATGCTAAAAAGGAAAACGGTTTAGAAAAAAACTGGAAGAAAAAAAGTAGGAAAAAGAGGATAAAAAATGAACACTGAGACAGTGAAGGGAGGATGTGGAAGGAAAAGAAACAAATGGAGCAGAAAAAGAAAAGAGAAAAAAGAAAGAAGGATGTGGAAGAATAAAATAATTATGAAAAGGTAAAACAGAAAGAACAAAAGCACTTCAAAGAAATAGGAGGATGGGAGAAGGGAAAGATAGAAAATAAAAAAGGAAAACGAACAGAAAAGTAGGGCAGAAAGAAAGTTTAATAAAAAGGGAGGATGGTGAATGTAAGAAGATAAAACAGAATAAAACAATAATGGAGGGAAGATGGTGGAAGAAAGGAAAGAATAATTTAAAAAGCAAGAAAAATTAACAGAAAGGGAGGATGGAGAAAATAGAAAATCATAAGAACGGGAAAAAGAAAACAAGAATAAATAGGGAGGGTGGTGGAAGAAAGAGATGGAAAGACAGAAAACAAACAAAGAACAGAAGGAAAAAGTAAATGAAAAATATAATGAAAGAAAAAAGTACAAGATAGATTTTAAAAAGTAAAAAAGGGAAAAAGAACAAACAAAAAAGAAAAAAGTTGTAAAATAAAAAAGAATATAAAAATAAATAAAACCTGAGGCAAACTGAAAATAAAAAACACGAATCAGTTCCGTTTCTGTTCTGTGAGTGGTTTGAATTCAGAAAGAAGCTGAGACATAAAATCTGCATAAAATATGACGTCCGCTTGTCTTCAGACGTTTGTTCACTTTGTTTACTGTGACTTCAGTGCGGTAGCGGCGGACCCCGCCACCGACATCACAAACTGCTGCTGAGTTAAAACCTGAGTCACAGCAGAAACATGGCGGCCACACGCGGCTTCAAAAACTGGCTCCGATTTAAACACCTTAAAATTTTCCCTTAACTTCTCGTCCCTGCTTTGACCCCGTCAGCGTCTCAAATAAAAACCAGAAATAAAAACAGCAGAAGAGAAACTTTAAATCCACTGAACCTTTATTGTTAGTTTGGAAACCTAAGTGACAATAAAACGGCGAGCGTCAGAGATCAATCAGCGTTCACACGAACACAAACAAGTTTCAGACTCTTTTATTGAAGACCAAAGAAAAACATAAGAAAAAGGACGACTGATCCTGCGGAGAGACGCGTCCTGAAGAGCCGGGTCCAGTCTTCAGCCGTCCAATCAGGTGATGCTTACCTTTAACGCAGCAGCAAACAACTCAACACCTGTCGTCAAGTCGTCATCAAACCAATCAACCAATCAATCAATTAATCAATAAACTATGTACAGAGGGTGACGGGCAGCGAGCAGCAGCCGCCAGATTCAATCACTGTTACACCAGAGATACAAAAAATACTTTAATTCATAAATTAAATCATTTACATCTCTGAGCCCACAAAGCAAACATGTCTCCACGTGTCCTTCACAGACAGACAGCAGACCTCAAATGGCCGCGCAGGATCCAAATACAAAAATGTATTGAGCTTTATTGTCGGTGCGGAGGGCCCCGCCCCCGCACGCTAAAAACACCTTTCCCTCTGAAAAACAGAGAAAAGGTCGTCGACGCCGAGAGCGCCAGCGGGTCACTGTTTGCTCTCCTCACATTGCACTTCGTCTCTTAAAACCTCCTCCTCCTCTTTTTTCACATCGGGAAGCTCGCTCGCCTCAGACTTCACTTCCTGTTTGACTGAGACTGAGGCTGCGGCGGCGGCAGCAGCAGCAGCAACTTCACAGGAAGTGCCCTCCTCTTCTTCACTCTTTATGTAAGCGCTCAGCGGATGATCAGTGAGCAGCTTGTTGGGCGACGGCGTGACGTCGAGGTACGACGACTGAGGAGACAAACAGCAGCAGGTCAGACGTCTGAAACCTTCAGCGTTATGATTTTGATTTATTCTTCAGATACTTACATTTTTATAATCTTCAAAACAGGCGGGGTGGAAGTTCTGTAAACACAAACAAACAGTCACTGCAGGTACTGATCCTTGGATACTGACCACTGTCATCAACACGTCAAACACACACAGAACTGAAGGAAACAGGTTTTTAAAATCAGATAAAATAAACTCACATTCTTCACTTTCATCTTAGCTTAGCATGTTAGCATGCTAACATTAGCTGATTGTTGCTAACCCCTCAGTCCACCGCTGGTTTGAAGTTAAATAGCTGGATAAAACCAGGACACTCAGTTCAGTGTCACATGCTTCGAATTATTCATTTATCCGTCAATCTCCTGATCAGTCCACTGATTGGTTCTGATTTTAGCTCAAACAAATGTTTAGCTCAACAAAGTTCAGAGAGAAGAAATGAGCTGATGTTCAGTGTCAGTAGGACTGATGAGCATTAATATTTTACAGATATTTGTTACTCATTTTTTGGACATTTCCATTTTTTCTACATCAATATTTTTTTTTTTTTTTTTTTTTAAATTTACAATTTTTTTTGGACATTTTAATTATATGTTTCCCTCATTTTATTAATATTTTTTCCATTTTACTACTATTTTACATAAATTCTACAATTTTTGTACAAATTTTACTAATTATTTTTGGACATTTCACAATTTTTTTTCTGACATTTTACTAATATTTTTTAAGACATTTTACTGGTATTTTGTTTTGGATATTTTACTAGTATTTTTCCTACATTTTAACAATACTTCGTGGGCATTTTATTAAAATTTCTTCCTACATTTCACAAATATTTTTCCTACATTTTTACAAATGTTTCGTCTAGATGTTACGAGCATTTTGGGACATTAGTAATATTTCTCGGGGGGAAATTAGGACACTTCACTAATCCTTTTTTCCTCCGACATTTTACAAATACTTTTCAGGGGAATATTTTCAGACACTTCTAAGACATATTTCTGGAGTGTGTGGTGATGTTGGCGCTGTGTCGTACCTTGTCATCGACCCTGACGGCGTTCTTCAGGAACCAGTCCTCCTCCTCCTCCACCCAGTACGTCTCAAAGGGCTCCTGACAGATTTCACACGACTGCAGGAAGAAAAACATTTTTGACCTTTCACACTGTCACACACATTGTCAGTGACTCGTGAGAAACAAACGTGTTGAGTAAAATTAATAATAAATATATAAATACAAAATGGATGAAAAAAATTCCTTAATGTCAGTGATGATGTTTTTTAGTTGTTTCTGATGTATTTACTACATGGTGGAAAGTAACTAAGTACATTTACTCAAGTACAAACTGCATTTTGATATTTCTATTTTATGTAACTTAATACTTCTCCTCCTGCACATGCACTTTTTACTTCACTACATGTATCAGACAGCTTTAGTTACTTCACAGATTATTAACACAAAGTAATAAATGACGTAATATTAAAGATGAGACTACACAGCAGATCTCAGCTCTGTCGTCTCGTCACAGCGTGTCTCACCTCTCCCACTTGGTCCTTGGTGGCCTTCACGCTCTGGAACTCCTTCTCCTTGGCGGCCGCCTGGCTCTTCTGCACCTCCTCCTCGTTCTCCTTCTCAAAGAACTGACTCTTGGCTCGCTCCTCCAGGTCGGCGATCTCCTCGAACTCTATCCAGTCCTGACAAACACACACACACACACACACACAAGTTTAAACATCAGATCTGACCTTTGATAACCTTCAGCTGTTTTGAGGTCCGTATGGAGGACACGTGCATTCTCACCGTGAGCGTGTAGTACCAGCGGCGGTGTGTGATCTTCTTGCTGGCGACCTTGCCGGCGTGGTTCTGTCTGAAGTGCCAGTCCAGGTGGTCGGCGTACATGTCGGTCTGAGCGGTGGTGAACCTCATGCTGCACAAGCAGCACTGGTTCCCTGAGTACAGCTTGGTCACCACGCTCTCGTAACGCCTGACAGACAGACGGGGACAGAACAAGTCAGACCGGTCAAACAGCAGCTCACCATTTTTGTATTTGTTTACTTTATTTCAAGACTAATGGTGACAAATATCGACCCTGTGCAAATCTGTGCACGTTTTTATTTTCCAAAACACCGGGAGCAGACGACTACGGCTGCAAACAGCAACTACTTTAATTATCAATTGATCAGTGAGATATTTCAAGACACAGCGAGAGAAAATACGTGTGCGACCAACTGTCATAACAACCAAAAAAGTTCATATTTTAAATGATATGAAGCTGAGAAAAATCCTGAGACTGCAGGAGCTGAGCCAGAGAACAGTTTACATGTTTGGAAATGATCAGATCTGTTAGTGATTAACTTCCTGCTGATCGACTAATCAATAAAGCACAGCAATATTAACTTAGATTTTTCCCTGAGTAATATTAAACATTTTACTAATATTATATAGAATTTATGTTTTCTTATAGTTTTGGTAACATTTTTAGATTTTAGATATTTATGGACATTTTACAAATATTTATCAGAAACACATTCTGACATTGTACCAACAATTTGGAGTTATATCATATAAATGTTTACAAAACAAGTCTGAGATTTTACTTATATTTTTCAGGCAAAAATTTTACCAATACATTCTGACATTTTAGTAAATCTTTCAGACATTTTACTAATTCTTTTCTTTAACAATAATTTCGTCATATTACCCATATTTATTTATTTATTTTTTTTTACAAAAGAAGTCTGACAATATTATTCTGACATTTTACCAATAATTTGGGTTCCTTCTATTTATATATTTTTTACAAAAGGAAAAAAAAGGATATGTTACTATATACATATTTTTCAAACATTTTAGTAATTATTTTTCCAGGAAAAGAAATCTGATATTTTACAAATACTTTAATATTCTGTTTTATTTTTGGACATTTTACTCACAGTTCTTGGACATTTCAAAAAACATGCCAAACATGTTAGTAACATCTTTTCTGTAGTCTTTGGGAGACTCCACCAGTCCTGGTGATCCACTTATTGACAAAGTGTTTTAGGTCTGAATGGTCACGTTCAGTCTGTACTCACTGTTTCATGTCATCGACAGTGAAGCTGGTCAGGTCCGGGATGTCGTCTTCCTCCTCCACCTCATCCGCCTCCTCTTCCTCCTCCTCCACCACAGGCGGAGCTGCTGAGGGCGTGGAAGATGATTCTGGGAAAACAAATGAAATCATGTAAATTTTTACAACCTGCTGATTATTGATCACATTAAAGTCTCGGATCAAACTAACGAGTTGACCACAGAAATCATGACGCCGGTCCACTGACCCGTGGTGGTGGTCGGTGCGGCGTCGGGCTGCGAGGGTTTGATGATGCCGGTGGAAATGAGTTTGGACAGCAGGTCGTTGACGTCAACCTGACCGAAGTGGTTCTCTGGAGGGGCGACCTGCGGAGCTACAGGGACACAAAACACACCAGTTAGAAACACTTTGATTTTTCTCCAGTTTAGTGTTAAAAAAAACTGTGTAAAATGTGTGTGAGTTAAAATCAGGAGGAAGATCTTACTCTGCTGTCCGAAAGGCACTGGGTTCTGAGGCAGGAAGGGCTGGTTGGGGTTCGCCAACATGTTTACCTGCAAACAAACGGGACATTTTAAGACCGGGTACACTGGGTTTATACTGGGTTTATACTGGGCTTATACTGGGTACATGAGGACCAGCGATCCTGAGTGAAAGTGGAATGAACCCCCGAGACTCTTCTGTGACATTACTAAACATCAAACCAAACCTGAGAGATCTTTGTGTTGATATAAAACATATCGGCTTTGTTGGACTCACCGGCTGCTGCATGCTGACGGCGGGGGCAGCGGGGTTGTAGAAGGGGACGGGGCCCGGCTGGCTGAAGGGCGGCGCCGCCTGCATGTTGAAGCTTCCTCCTGGCTGCAGGTTGGGCTGAGCTGGGAACGCCATTGGCCCCGCCGGGAACTGAGGGTTCATGGGCTCAGGGAAGCGCTGGGGGGCCATGTTGAAGTTCTGCGGGGGGGCAATAGGTTCGTACATGGGTGGGGCCATCGGCCCCATGGGGGGCTGCAGGTTGTGTTGAGGAGGAAACCTCAGGGGGCCCTGCTGGCTGGGAGCACACTCGTACCGTGGTGGCCCACCCTGATGGGGCACGTTGGGTAAGTCAAACCTGGGACCTGGCTGAACGGGCCCCTCGAAGCGCAGCGGACCAGGGCCATCGAACCTCATCGGGCCCATCTGGTTTGGAGGGCCGTCAAAGCGGATGGGTCGCGTCTGCTGGAAGTTCATTGGTCCAGATCCAGGACCAGGAGCCATGTTGTTGTCAAAGCGCAGCGGGCCGTCAAAGCGCTGAATAGGACCCTCAAAGTGACCCGGTCCGGGCCCTGGACCGTCGAACCTCACCGGGGGCTGCTGACCAATGGGACCATCAAATCTCCCGGGGCCCTGAGGGTGAGGTGGACCGTCAAACCGCCCCATGCTGTCTCCGCCCCTCATTGGACCGTGAGACATGTGGGGTCCGTCAAACCTCTCTGGCATATTGTGATGAGGCGGTCCCCCGCCATCAAACCTGCCAGGACCCTGGTGGTGAGGCCCGTCGAATCGGGACGACTCATCGTAGCGCCCGGGTCCACCGCTCTCGTACCACCCTGGAGGGTGCGGTCTGGAGGGGCCCATGTGTCCGGGTCCGTCGTACCGGGAGGAGGGGTGTCCTCCATCATGAGGAGGTGTGTGTCCTGGGGAGTCACTGTGCTGTCGGACAGAAGACAGCGGTCCTCCACGGACAGGCGCCTTGAGGATGGACTTGGGTGGAGGGGGAAGCGGGGGGGCATCCAGATTGAGTGGCCCATCGTCGGAGTGTTCACTGTTGGGGCTCTCGAAGCGCGGGACTGGGCTCATCTCTGCAGAGTCTTTCTGGTGGAGAGGAGACAGGCGCTCGCGCTCAAACCTGGGCGCCGGCGGGTCCAGACCAGCTGGACTCGGACAGTTCCTGTGCACCACGGTGCCGGAGGGCGGGGGCACCTCTGGCCTCCGTGGATCAGGGAGCCTGGATTCGACAGGTTGGCCGTACCTCCGCGGAGCATCGTAGCCGCTCTTCTGCTCCTCACGTTCGTCGAGGCGTTGGCGCTCTGTCAGCGGAGAGTTCCACTCCCTCTCACCTGGAAACAGCGGACAGAAACTCATGAAGACGCACAGGACTTCCTGTGACTCATCAGTAAAACAACAGCTCATCTCATCTACAGTTAGTAAAGATTCAAAGTACAGACAGAGATCTAAAAAGGACGAAACGTAAACTCTTCTTCTCTGGTTACGGACGGCGTCTCCTGACCTGATGAGCTGATCGGACTCTGCTGTGGTTATTAACTGAGGCTGAGCGTGTGAGCTGAACTCCCTAATTAAATGTGTAAACCGATCTTTTTAAAGAGTCTCTAACCCTGCTGAAGTGTCCCTGATCGAGACCCTGACACCCCGCAGCTCCAGAACCTGACCTCTGACCTCTCTGTGGATAAAGACGACAGACGACAGATAACGTTTGGCTTCACAGATCAGTTTACAGGCAGATAAGACATCATGTCATGGTGGACGTGTTCGGAGCCGTGGACTCACTGGACTCTCTGGGGTCGGCTCTCCTCCTGAAGCGAAGGCCCGGCAGAGACTTCAGGGTGGGGAACTCTTTGCCGTGGTGGTACTCCTCGATCATGGGGCCGAGTGGTGGGCGGGGCTCCTCACGCTCTTTACTCCTCCTCTCACCTGTAAGAGTCATTAACCAGCGCACGTCAGTGACACAACAATAAACCGTCTTCGTCATGAAGCTCTGACGTCAGGACTTGACAGTTTAGCGATCAGTGAGGTTGGAAGAACCTGAAAACAGCGCCCTTCATCTACGTATTCTAGGAAACGAGACGACCCCTCCACATTAAAAAAGATGCTACTTGTCTAGTGAGACTAATAATTATGTTTATCATCAATTAATCTGCAGATTATTTTCTCCAAATTATTTTGTTTATCAAATGAAAGAAAAAAATGAAAACTAGAATTTTAGGGAAGTTCCCTCGAGGCCTTCTTAAAATATCTTGTTCATGATCATGATGACGGACTAAAGGTCACAGTAACCTCTGACCACCATCTGTTCAGCTCATTTTGGAGTCCAGGTGGATGTTTGTGCCAAATTGTGCAAGACTTTTCAAAGACCCATAATTTCTTCTTGCCCACTTCTTTGGCATTTTTCAAACATTTTTCAGATTGAAATTCAATTCAAACATAACTTCAACAAGCGGGCATACATGAAGGGAGAGACTGAACGAGGGGAGAAAATTACGCAACGAACACGACAGTAAACAAAACATCACGTATTGACACGTTAAAGCTACGTTACGTCGATAGAAAATTATCTGTCATTATGTTATAGGTTATTTATTAAAGATTATTGTGACAATATCATAACACACAACAAAACTCATAACTTTTAATTATTCTCACTAACTCCATGACTTTTCCAGGCCTGGAAAATATAATTGTGAAATTCAATGACTTTTCCAGGCTTTCCAATACAATGGGAACCAAGCTCAAGGCCTTCTTAAAACATCCTGTTCACGAGCATGAAACAAACGCCAAAGTCACAGTGACCTTTGAACTTCTAAAAATCTTATGAGTTCATCATTGAGTCTATGTGGACGTTTGTGCCAAATCTGAAGGAAATCCTTCAAGGTGTTTTTTTTTTTTTTTTTTTTTTTTTTTTTTAGATATTGTGTTTACAAGAATGAGACCGAAGCAAGGTCACAGTGACCTCTGACCTATGATTAACAAAATCTAATCATTCATCATGTTCATGTGGACATTTTTGCCAGATTTGAAGAAATTCCCTCACGGTGTTCTTGAGATAACGTGCGCATGAGGATTGAACAGCGTCGAGGGTGTTTGGGACATTGTGACAGACAACCCAAAAACATGCCGCCTCTGGCCACGGATGTCGTCGCCGCGTCACGAGTAAGCCTTTAATTATTCGCCACAGCACCGAGTGATGTATTCTGACAGCTTGTTTCATTTGAAAACCAAAACCCAAAATATTCAGTTAAACATCACATGAGCCAAAGACATCAATCAACACTCAGCCTACCTGGTCTGTCCCGTGGCGCCCGGTTGTATTTATGTGATGGCGGGTGTCCGGCGCTGCGGCCCGTCTTCTCACCCTGCCCAGTCTCCTCGCTCTCCTCCGGACTCTCCTCGCCGTCCCACTCCTCCCCAGTGTTTCGGTGGGTGACCTGCGTCTTCCTGAGCTTGGACTTGTGTTCGTAGTACGACAGCTCCGCCGGGTCCATGCCTTCATGGGGCCGTGGCTGGGAGGGGGCACCCGGGGTAGTCAGCAGCGGCACTTTCTTGGCAGGGAAGTCTGCGGACTCTTCCCAGCTGTCGGAGCGCTGCCTCTCCTCCTGATACTGAAAGAAGTGTTTGATCTTGTGGGCCATGTTCAGGAAGTCCTCCTCGGTGATCTCGCCGCTCTCCAGACGCTTACTGGCCTGCACAGAGACGAGAAGACGACAACTGTTACAGAGATGAAACCTGTGCTGATTTTCAGCCAGCTCTGTGTCATAACACTGTGTGTGCAAATGATTAGTTTGTGTTTCCGCTCGTCTCTCAGTAAAAATCCACTGGGTGACACAGTATGTGTCACCCAGTGGATTTTCTCTGGATCTTAGATCATTGCTCAGACTACAGATTGTACTTCTGCATTTTCAAATGCTCGCCACCGCGGACACAGAGAGCACAGAAGTGGACAGAGACACCTGCACCACCCCAGCTCAGACCAAAGATTCACTATGACATAAAACCGTTTCAGAACGTTGCAGAGAAAAGTGTCAGCAGTGTGAACTGGCCGGTCTGAGCTCGACTCAAGCTGGCTGATGATGTCACCTGACACTCAACTGGTCAAACTGCCTGCAGCTGGTTTTAAAGCACGTTACCCGTTTCAACAGCCAATCAGCTTGTAGTGAAGTCTGCTGGTCAAGTCACAATGACCACAGACGACAGGTGCTCCGTCCCCGCCGGGCCTTCAGTTTCCATCCTGACTGTTTTGTTTTTTTACCAGTAGGTGGAAATAATTCTTCTGCATGTTTTGAAGCCTTTAATTTTTTGTTTTTGTGACTTTTATAAAGTATTTATAAAGAATCAGTGAGCGTGGTGTTTATGACGTACCCTCCTCAGCAGGTCCTTCTTGGAGGCGGAGTTGAGGACTTCAGGTATCTGCAGATTGGCGTCTACGCTGAGGCGATGCTTCGGGGTTCGGGGGGTGGTGGGGCGAGGCGGGCCGCCGTACTGTTTGTGTCTGGGAGGTCCTGAGGGCTTCAGGTGAGGTTCCTCCGGCAGCTTCGGACTGAGAAGGAAACACACACACTCTTTAACTTCATCCACAAACACTGAGACGACCTGCAGGATCGCTGTGATGATGATGATCCATCGATTTTAGTTTAAAGCAGCTATCAATTGAAAAAATACGACTACAAAAAAAAGAATAATCTGTCATTAAACACAAAAGATCAAAGTTCCTTAACGTGCGAACACAAACAGCTGTACGATGATAAAACTTGTTAGATGAGGAACACGTGACGCCAGCGTTCAGTCTGATGACACATTCATGTGAATCAGACGTGACGTTTGTTTAAAACATTAAATATGATCTGAGGTGACGGACTCACTGTTTGTTCTCCTCCCAGCCGCTCCTCCAGCGGTGAGGAGCCTCCTTGGCCTCCTTGCCTCCTCCGTCGTGGCTCCGTGGGGAGTGAGAGTCTCTGGCCTCAGAGTGCCGATCCTCAGCCGGCCTCTTTGACCTCCTGTTCTCTGATTGGTTCTTCTTGGGTGCGAGGCGGGCCTCTCTGCCGGGCTTGCCGTGCTCCGGTTCTTCTGCGCGGACCCTCCTGGGTTTGCCGGCTTTGTGGGAGGGAGACGGGGACAGGGAGTTGCTCCGGGCTCTGCTCTTTGGGGACCGCCTGTCCTTCCTCTTTGGGGAGGTGGCGGGGGAGCGAGACCTGGAGCGGGAGCGGGTGCGTTTCCTGGCGTGCGTCCGGGCGTTGCCTCCGGTCTTGAACTCGAGCTTCTCCGCGGGCTCTTCGCGATCGTGTTTGGTCACTGAGCCGTTCACCAGCTTCCCCTTGTTGGACCGTTGAGGGTCGACCCCCCGGGCGGCGCCCTCTCGCTCCTTCTTCTCTGTGCATCTTTTCTTCTCCTTCAGCTCCTCGTCTCTGGCGTCTCCACTCTTGTCCTGTGTGCGTTTCTTCAGTCGGGGGTCTTTCTTCGTGCCGTCAGCTGACTTCAGAATCTCGGCCTCCGCCTGTTTGTTTTTACTCTGGACACTTTTGGCCAGCGGAGATGGAGACTTGGACTTGGCCTTGTCCTCTAACACGTCTTTCCTCGGGGTCCTGGCCTTCTCTGGCCGGGTGGATTTCTCAGGTGTGGCGAGGCCATCCTTCTTGCCAGCAGGCTGTTCTTTGGCCTGGGAGGCAGCAGGGGGGCCGGTGCGGTTCAGTCGGGGGTCTCTGGTGGTCGACTTGGCGTCTGTCTGAGTCTGAGGAGGTAGCCACGGTCGGACCACGGGGACAGTTTGGCTGGTGGTCTTCGGTGCCGTGCTCAGTGCCGCGCTCTGCGTTGCTGGAGTTGAGACTGAAGTCGCTGTTGGCATCACAAATCCACCGGCCTGTGGACACATGAAACAACTGTTGGTTCTGATGCAGTGGAGGGAGAAAATTTATTTCTAAACATGGACGGACTGAAACGAACAGGAAACAGGAAGTCACTGATGTCACCAGAAATTCAACTAGATAAAGAAATAAGTTCGGGAAAATAAAGAGTGAAAAACAGCAAATAACTGCTTTAAGTAATTTAAAATAAATTTAAAAAAGCAAAAATAAATATGCATTTTAATAAAAGTAAAAATAATTAAATTAAAAAATGTATAAATGCTAAAAATAAAAATAAATTAAAAATAAGAGTAACAATAAATGTATTAAAAAAATTACCTTTAAAATGTAAATAATTAAGTAAAAATAATTAACTTAAAAAATAAAAGTAAAAATAAATAACTTTTAAGTGAACAAACGAAACAAAAAATAAAAGTAAATTTTTTTTTTAAAAAAAGTTATAAAAATGTTAAATAAAAAAATTAAAGCAAAAATAAAATAAATAAAGATTAAAATTTATTAAAGGGAAATATACTAAAAGAAGCAAATTAAAAGAAGAATTTCAATTTGTGTCACGTTTCATCAGTTAATTAATATATCTACATTTATTTGTAAAATTATATTGGTACAGTTACTGGCACAGTCATTTAAATAACAAGTCATTTATTTATTTCTGATAGCGGCAGCTCTCTCCTCCATAAATATGGAAGCCCGAATCTGCTGAAGAAACAACTTTGTAGTTTCAAAATATTTGGATAAAACAGGTTTGGATCAGGGGTCTCATTTATAAAACAGTGTGTAGGATCCGTACTAAAAATAAAAAAATATTCGTCAATTTCTACAATCAGGCTTTCAACCGTGTCATCAAATTTCTGTCTCCAAAATGTTGGTACGCATTTGTCAAAGTTTCTCCCATCAAATCTGTTTTTACAGTTCACATCTTTACGTGGCGAGTGGCGTGCACCTCGTTCAGGCCTGGTTTTGTGCGTACACAGTTAATAAATGACACTACAGATCTGGGACCAGCCCTCAGTCGTCCTACCAGCTGCGCTTTTGTCTGTTCCAGCTCCAGCTCGATCTTCTTCTGCTGAAGCTCCAGGAGCTGCTTCTGTTTGGCCAGCAGCTGCTGTCGGATCAGCTGCTCCTGGGTCAGGCTCGACTGGCTAATGGCGGGAACTGGCTGGGAAGCCGATGCTGCCGGCGGTGGCGGCGGCTGCGGCTGAGCGGGGGCGGGCACCGGAGAGGATGGCTCCTCAGACTAAAGACACGATGAGAGAAGAAGAAACAAAGGAGTCTGTCAGTTAGTCCGTCTCCTCCGGCTTTGAGATGTTCTGCTCATTTTAGTGTTTCGATTTTCACAAACAGAAATAACAAACCTCAATTTGAGAACTGTCTTCAATGAATTACAAGTTATTTCTTACAAAATGAGCTCAAACCCTAAAGAACGTGTGCACAGTTATTTACCAGCACCTAAATAGGACATGTGGTGAAAGAAACCCTCAGGGACCTGTAAGTGTCTCACTAACACATGTCAACACTGACTAAATGTGGTCCAAACAAAGACCGGCTTTGATTTCAAAACAGGAAGGACATATGACAGAAGGGATTTTATTAACTGCAGTACTACTTTTGTTATATATTGTCCAACACGCCCATGCAACTGTTTTTATGTAGGACGCACCAAAAGACATCTTAAAGACAGAGTTTCAGAGCATCAATATATGATTAGGACGCAGGATGAGGACGACCCCATGGCTAAACAAAGAGGTACATGATTCAAACTTGATGCAATATATCCTGGTTTAAATGAGGAAACTGATCACACACCCTTCCTTTGAATGAGAAACAGGGTTAGAGTGATCTGTTCTTATTATTGTTGATGTTGTCTTGTTATTATTCGGACTCTTCGTCTAACGTATTATTATTAATATTGTTTTTATCCAGATCACAGATCAGTAACTCCTGAATATCACAGCACAGAAACACTAGACCTTTTTCTGTACGATAGAGCTTAATTTAATTTCCTTCTCCCTTTTATGTATGTATTGTATTTTTTATATTAGTTAGAGATTTTCTGTGCTAAAATCTATTGCTGTCGCTCACCTGTGCTCACTTATTAATCAGGATTGGGTGACACCGCCTACCAAACTTGCTTGACTCCTGTCTACCTTTTGCACCCTGATGAAGACCTTAGGGTCGAGACCCGTCAGTGTTCTAATGTTAGCAGCCATGTTTTTGAATAAAGGCTTTTTAACTTAATCTATATGCATCTGTTCCTAATCCACACGAGTGCCTGAAGTTGCCTGCAGTTAGACGGCTCGTGCTGCAGGTTATTTGTTCAGTTACATTTTAAATTCAACAGGTAAACATGGCTGTAATTAGTTTTTCTTTCAGGGAGTGTTTACTCAATTTTAACTTTATCCCTAAACTTTACATGAGAGAGACACCAGTAAGTCTTTAGTGCTGAAACAAGCAGTTGATCAGTCTTTTTTTTTTTTTTTTTAAAAAAAAGCAAAAACATGAAGATGATGTTTTCTGACTTCAGCCTCCTCTGAGAATGAGCTGCTCTTCATTTCTTTTCTACACATGCTGTGTTTTCTGCGCCCTCAAACTCATTGTTTTCGATGTAGACGCGCGGCAGGTGAGCTCAAACGCAAGACGCCATTTTTCAGGGTGCGGCGGCTGCTCCCTGAGATAAGTTCAACTTTTGGAGCACATGTTCATGTCACAAGGACCAACCAATCACAGCTGACAGATATCTTTCCCTTCTTCTGTAAATTTTCAGTCTGATAAACACGGAAAAGCTGATCATGTTAGTGCAGGGCTACCCAGAGCGTCACATCTGTCCCACAGACAATAGGCCTACACACTTATAAACAGCTCCTGGAAGAAGATCAGCTCTGCACTCAGGATTTCACCTAAATAGTCTATAAGATGTTGTTAAGGTTGCTTAGCAACCTCAGACACAACCTGCTGCCATGCTCTTGAAAGCCGGCACAGAAAAGGCACAAGAGTAGTGCCCAGCACTGGACCTGGACAATGGGGAAAAGGCGGAGATGACGTAGGGCGTTTTTTAAACACGGGGCATCGGAGCGCTCCGGCAAAAATGCAGGAGCTCAGAGTGCAGAAACACGCGGGTGTGTAGCAACGCAAAAACTGTGAGCAAAGCTTCGCAAGCTTCATTCTCACTAAAATAAATTAGAAAAAGGTGCCTCCCGCTGCTAAAGCGCGTCCTGTGGGATCAGGACCTAAAAGCTTTTATTTAGACGTGAAAAACAACTGATGAAGAGTACTGATAAAATCTTAATCATAGTCATCCCTATCCACTCTAAATGCTACAGAAAAAGAACAGTGTCCAGAGTGGAACACAGAAAACAATGAACATGTCATCATCAAAATATCCATTTAATTTATCTTAAAAATGTCTCTCATTTGTTTGGATGAGCTACATGTACATGTATGTTGGTCTGATCTGTGTGACGCTGATGTGAAACATCATATTAATGATTTAAAAAACAGATATTGCTGGGATTGGAAATCAACTCTTTTGTCCACCTGCTACTGTGGCTGGTGGAGTAAAGAATCTACCAGCCACTAAATACATTACCATTGGTTTCTTTGGCTTTAAGTGAAGTGAATTTTGAAGCCACTTCTATATTTTACCATCATCTGGCTGCTGGTTGGTGCTGATGTCCAGCCCTGGATATTACAGATTATTTTGAGATTAAATGATGCAGTTAGACAAACAGATTCATGAAATCGTACTTGTCATGTCTGAGCATTTCAAGACTTCTGAGAGATTGATTTAAGGTATTTTAATACCAATCAGAGCCTTATTTTGGAGTAATGAATTGAATTTTAAGGATCGTGTAATGAAACCCAGCAGAGAAGTTGTCCGCTATGCAGAGGACTGAGGGTTAATCACGTCTGCTAACAAGGGTCGGCTATCGGTTAGAATATGAGTTGTAGCATCCCTGGACTGTGCCCAGCAGGTGTGAAGAGCCCAGTCCCAGTGGAGTGACGAGGTGTCGGCAGCAACATACACACCTGCTTTAAAAACTTGGGGTTGACATGAATGCTGGCGTTGACTGTGGGCGGCAGCGGCTTGATGGGCCAGGCCGGGTCCACAGAGTTGACCCGCACGTCCAGCAGGTAGAGTTTCTTGAGAGGAAACACATCGTCCCACGTCGAGCGCAGCTTGAACAGACTCTTTCTAGTGTTTTCGTCCACCTACAAACAGAGGACAGGACTTGGTCCAACGAAAAACCTAAAGCACTTCAGCATCATCACAGCAAAGGCTTTCAGCTCTATCACCACTACATTTACTGTGTTAAGAGTTAAATATGTGTAAAGCATGAGCCCCCCCTCCCTCGTTTATTAGCAGGACTACATTATGGAGTTAAGTAGACAGGAGCAGAGTGCAGGAGACCACACATAAAAAGCAAGCAACACAACAAACAGGAGGGAGGTGAGGTGCTAACAGATTTAGTGCTTAAATGTTTCAAACAGCAGCAAAGAGAACTGTACCTTTTCAAAGACACATATAAATGAAGTGATTAGGTTTTTAGCAAACACTGCAAGGTACTCTCCTCCAACATTCTTCACTATGGAATCCACTAAGTACAAAACTGGAAGCTTCTCGGCAGATGGGGCCTGGAGCAATAGAGAACTCGACAAGTTTAGAAAACAACAGGGGTTAAAAACCAACATTTCAGAACAGAGAACAACTTGACAGGATTAACAGGGCTGAGCGCCCTCCACCCTCACCACCCAAAAATTACAGCAAAATGTGGGCGAAATAAAGTCGGTGTCAGGTGAGGAAAAAGTGACACGTCTGGTGGAAAATCAGTCCCAAAGATTCGTCTTCACTCAGGAAGCACAATTATCTCCTGCGTGTTGTGAACACGGCTCCAAAAAACAAAAAAAAAAAAAAAAAAAAAGGAAAATATGCAGAAAAATCTTCAGTCATGATCAGTCAGCAGAGACGTCCCCGAAGTCAGGGGGAGGAAACATGTCCATGATGCACTCTGGGTTAAAAAAAAAAAAAAGGAGTCCAGTCCTCGGTAACCTTTTTACCTCCAAAGAGGGTTTCTTCTTCCAACCACTCTTTGTACTTTACCCAGACGACATATCGGCCAGTTTGACTCTTTTACTTCACACCCACTGACTTTTATTCACTCTCACTCTGTCTGAGTTTTACCCCTCAAAAGTTTTGTCTCCCTTCAGTTATTAAAAAACATGAGTAACCCATCAGGACACAGGACTGATCTGTTGGCTGCGTTAAACTGTGAAGTCTGCTGTTACTAAACTGTGCAGCATCAGCTGAGTGAGCAGTGTCTGTACGAGCCGAGTCACTCTCGGCCGTGTCAGTAAATGGAAACCAGACCAATAAATTACACTGGGAAATAAAAAATGACAAAAAGCACATTTCACATTTTTTATTATAACATTTTAACCATTCAGTGACATTTCAGGAATTCAAGATTCACTAGTGAATGAATGCATTATTTTTTCCTCTGATCTGATCAGAAGCTTCGCTGCGTCAAAGTGCAAACAGAGAGCACACAGGCGGCTAACCGCTGACTCAGGATCTGTTCTACAGAAGGTCAGAGGACACGTCTCCTGTGTTCAACAACAGCTACCCGACAACATTTATTAACAACACAATCAATAACACTGGTGAGGTCTGTCGTGGCTGTGAAGCGTCGAGGCTGAAGTCAAAATCCACCAGAAATAAAATGGCTGATCCTAAAAAACTACGACTTCTACACGTCTTTACACACTGCTGCTGATCTGCTGCTCGATTCGTCCATCAGGTCAAAGTGTCACTAATGATCAGGTATCACTGGACGACTCGCGTTAAAGCCATTCATACTGATGAATCAATGGTGTTTTCATGATCCTGTTTAAAATCAATTTAAAATAAAATATATAGGAGCTAGAGCAGTCATTGCTTTTACAAGACAAAGTTAAGACTTGTGTCTTTTGCACCATCATGTTGTCCACATGTGATGACGTCACTATGTTATGCTACAAGCACTCCAAAACATGTGGTGGCGCCAGAGAAGCAGGTGGATGGGAATGTCTGTTGTATTGTTTTTTATTTACGACACATTTTCAATACTGTTATTATGGTTTATTGACTCACGTGACCTTTTAGCTCAGGTTGTACAGATTATAGGGATATGACGCATTAGAAAACACTCAAAGAAATGACATCACAAGAGGCAAAAACACCAACACATGTACTGGCGGCCTGTTTGTGTGGCAGAGTTCAAAGGGTTGAATTAGCTCCAATAAAGTCTTTTGTTGTTCTGAACAGCTGAGCTGATTTCAGACACATGTGTATGAGCGGATATATAAACTGTCTATAATCCCACACTGTAGCGCCATGGATTGGTTCTGAGTAAAAACGGACTTCGTAGCGGCTCTGTAGCGCTAACTCTGTGTAAAAAGGACTCGACTGACTCAATAATTGTGAGTTGATTCTGTCGTAAACGAGGACTTGAGCGATTGGTCCACTAGTGGATTAAACATTGCTACGGTCACTAGCCAGCACCAGAAATGCTAGTCCGTTAAACTCATCTTTAGATTATTTTTTTTAAGGGGGTGGGGGAATCAACACAGCATAGTATCATGATATTTTTGTGTGTCATCACACAGCACCATGTATCACATTTTCCATTACATAAATCAACAGTACAAATACAGATGTAACTTTAGGCAGCCTACTAGAATAATGTTTGCAGATGTGCAGATACATGGATGAAAAATAGAGATAAACAGACTGAAAACTTAATCTCGTTAGATTAAACAGATGTTGACAGTTTTCCTTTGGGGAAATAATCTACAGTTAAAAAAGGTAATAAATCACAACATATTTAAAATCACAATAGTGTGTTGTGATTTAAGTATCGTGGATCTTCTTTCATTTATGCCATTAAGTTCACCCAATGAAAATACTGCTGTCATAATCAGGCATGTTCCTACAGAATACTGATTTTTTAATGTAGTGAGTCGTGTTATGTCATGTCCGCCTTATGGATTAAATTGTTCTAAACTTGGACTGTTTTCTGGGTGTGTTCTTCAGTCAACTAGCCTGACTCTAAACTTCTGTTTTAACATCATGGAAACTAGTGGTTGAGAACCCTCCTGGTTGTTAACGACGACAAACAACGGCTTTTCTTTAAGTCTCACAGAAGTCTAATTGGTTAAAAAAAAAAGTTAAAATATGAAAAAGCAGGTTAAATGGCTTTTTTATTCTGTAGCTTATTTTACAGCTCTTTCACTGAATTCTCTATATTTTTTAACGTATATCGTCTGTCTTATTTTCTACCCGTTTCCTGTCATCATCTTGTAAAGAATGTTGTCGTGCCTGTTTGGAAACATGGTCAACACATAACTTACTTTTAGTCAAAAAAATATACATATATATCTATATGGCACCATTTTGGCGAGAATGGCAAAAAATTTGTCACCTTCATCAGTGGATTTAGACCTCAAAGGGAATTTATTAACTTAAAGCTGTTGTGAAACACAAACTGCATCATTAAGACACTTGTGGTGGATTTTCACTTCAGTTGATCCCGACAGCAGCACACCAACTTCACGACATTCATCTGACGGCTGGCATTGACAGGAGATCAATTTGGATCTAAAAATCTTGCATCGCCAAAAGTTAATCTGCAATTTCTCAATTGGTCTTTGTTCATCTGAGCAGGAGGGTCAAAGTTCTCTCTGGTTCCAGCTTCTCAGGTGTGATGATGAGCTCTTTGTCTGACATCACAGTAAATTCAGTTTCTTTAGATTTTGGAAATTTAAAGTCCTTGAACTTTAACGGTCATTTTTCATTACGTCCTGATGTTCTATAATGAACAATCAATCGGGGGTAAAAAAAAAAAGGCAGATTCATTAATTATGAAAAGGATTAATGGCTGTAGCTCAAATTAATCCGATTATTCTTGGTAATCGTTCAGCAGCCTATTAAAAAATGTAAATAAATCGCCCGTCACAATTTCTCAGAGCTCTTGCTGATATCCTGAAGTTAAATTCTCTACTATACAGTCAATCCTCACATTTTAAGACACTGGAATCAGAGAATATTTGACAATCAGTTAATTGAATGAGACAAATGATTGATAACTGCCAATTAAACTTCTGACGATCAATGAATCGTTTCAGCTCTGAATGCAAAGCGTTTACTGTGCAGAGGAAAAACTGACAGGAACAGCTGATTTCACATCAGTGCGCCGAGAAATTTTTTTTTTGAAATTCTGAATTTGGAGCAAACTTAATATATTAACCCATTTGTGCCCACAACTGAAATTTGAATTTAGTTTTGGTTGAAGTTTTGTCTGAGCTTGCTGAAGAACAAATCTGGAGAAACATTTAAAATTGGTCAAACTGAAAGGTTTCTTATTTCACTATATTCAGTCGTTGAGCACATGAGACTACTGCTTTTTATGCATATATCATTTTATTTTTGGAATGACAATGGTATTCCCATGTGCCCGAAAAACTGAACTATTATGTCTCTGGGTGCATGAGACCACTGTTTTTCTAAATAATTCATATATATTTATTTGGGGAAAACAGTATTCTCGTGTCCAAAGACTAAATACGTGTTAAAACAAATATTTCATTGTATTTATAGATTTTTACTTTCTCCCATTTCTTTTATCTCATATTTATCTTTTTAGCTTTATTGTCATTATTTTACTAATTAACTTAGAGTGATATTCATCTGTGTATTATCTTACCAAGCTCAGGCCTGTTTTAAAACTGCAGGGAATAATCCTTGTATAATGCACCATGTTTCAATACAATCAAACTAATACTGTGAACTAAATGCAATATAATCTTTGACTATATGAGACTATTGTTTTTTTTTTTTTTATATATATATACACACATTTCATTATATTTTAGGGATAAACAGCAGTCCCATGTGCCTTAAGATCACATATAGTATCTCAGAAACTATGTGAATCAAGTATCTGGCATCTTTTAACAAATATTTTACACATGTGGAAGAAAATGTAAATACTGACTTGAATATGTCTGCTACTTACCACATATCAAGACTTCAGTCAAAGCACAACATTATGGTGTTGTACTAAACACAGTATGTAAGAGTTGCATTACATAACATTGTTGACACAGCTGATGTTATACACTATAATGTTAACCTAATATTTTACTGTTAGCATCTTAAAGGCTGTACTTTTCCTGTTGATACCAAAGAAGCTACAACAGTTTATATTTAACACCACCCTGTACAATGTGCTGTGTTCAGTGTGGTCACACCAATAAAGCTTCTAAAAACTGAACTGTAATAAAGTCTGTGGGCACATGAGACTATTGTTTTTCTATATCATTATATTTTAGGACTAAGAATGTGCCTGCAGACCACATCTATCTACAAAACTAACACAATTTAAGTGTGTTTCCGTATTTTTAAAAATCCTGACTCTGACTTTTGAGTAAAGTGCGATTTTTCATGTGTTGTGGAAATTCCAAAGTTTCCTAAATATGTCCGTAATTAACTTTTTGCCCAGACTTGAGTCAAAGCACAGCATATTATGGTGCTTTCACTTTTCATCCTAAATTCAGTATGTGGGATTTGCATTACAAAATATTATTGACACAGTTGTTGTTTTACACTTTAATATTTTACTGTTCGTATCTTACAGTTACAACAGTTTATAGTTTATATTTATTACCACCTGTACACCGCGCTGTGTTTCCGTGTGGTCAAACTATTAAAGCTTCTTTGAGCTGTATAATAATAAGAAAGTCTTTGGGCACAAACGTGTTAATATAAACCCGCAGTTTCTCCCTCTGTAACAGATTAGTAAAGTTACCGGTAGCCCCTCGGGTGTTGCTGTTATTGAGCAGAACAACGGAATGTACCGTATCTAGGTGTAACACAGCTCTGGCCGCCATGTTTAGCCAGCAGCTAACACAGCGTGTAGCGGGCCTGTTAAATCTAACATACATCGACACAAACATCTGGAATTGAAAATATTCTATTTTTATAAAAACCTTGCTGATTTGCGCTTCAATTATTGCCACGATATCCTTGGCGAAGTTGAGGTTTTCCTCGGCCAGGATGGTCAGCATGTTGATGTGCGGCTTGCTGTTGAACGTCAGGTCCTCCAGAGACGACTGATACTCCCGGCACGCGTCTTCCCTCGCCGCTTTGTCGTCCATCTTTGAGCCGAGCGACCCGGGGAAACCTACACGAGCCTGATCGATACCATAACCACTGATCAGCAGGCAGTCCATCAACTCATGCGGGAACTCTTCCGCCCTGACTCGGTTCAGATTAACGCTGGTGCGGTGGGTTATTTCTGCCGTCGCCTCGTCGTCGTTCTTCGCCCGTTTATGGACGACAAGAAGATGGCGACTGTAACTGGAGGCCTCATACGTCACACCAACTTTCTTATAGCTGAGTGACGTCAGTTCATCCCCATTGGCTTGTGTCAGGCCGCTTGTAGCGGGCTCTTGATTTTCATTGGTTCGATGAAATAACAGCCACACAAATGAGCCAATCAGATTGAAGCAGGGTGAGTTTATGATTACATAACGAAATATGTTTCCCAGAATTCCAGCACGAGGCCGAGGCGTGACGTTTCACTCATAACTGGAGTTTAAATCAGGTGTTTAATATTAACACCATAGACATATATGTCTATGATTAATACTACGACATTAGCAATGACGTGAAAAAATTCATTAACCAAAATTCAAATAGCTTTATTGGCACAAAGATATGTTATTGCTGAAGCATTCATAAAAATAAATTAAAAAAACACAAATTAATGAATAAAAATCGAAACAAAATAAATAATAATAATAATAATTTATTGGCATAAACAAAGATATGTTATTGTCAAAGTATTTTGTATAAATAAATGAATAAAAAAATAAAATTAAAAAATAAGTAACTAAATAAATAAATAACATAAAAATAAAATGTGATCATAATCAGCATGTTGTACTTTGTAACATTATACAGATAATTTTATATTTTTAATTAGAGCATGAGGCACATTTTTTTATATATTTTTTTACACGCTGTTCATACTCAGCATATTAAATATATTTTATATTTTTACACTTAAGTCAGACGTAATTCTTATATACATATATTGGATGTATATATAGAGGTGTGATTTAGGGAGGGTAAAAGCTTCACTGGGGTCATCAGGTGGGTACCTTCCTTCACTGGTGTTGTGATGACAGTGCAGAGGGCTCATCAGCAGCACCTGGCATCCTGGCGATGTACTTAAGGCTCTGGGATTCGTAGGCCTGTTGCACAGCATCCTCCCAGTGAGCTCAATGATGTAGACGAGGCGCAGTGAGGAGGACCAAAGCACAAGGTCTGTTCTGAGGTTAGCTGAGGCGATATCAGATATGAAGCACAAACGCTGATTCAGATCTGCCAATGAAGCTCCGTCTCCACCAAACCCTTTCAGTCCAGCACCTTTGGAACCAGCAGTAAGCCTTCAGACATGGTACCTAGACCCTCGGTGTGTTCAGACAGTCCTCTTAAATGTGGGCGGGGTTGTTGTCACTCACTGCTCCGTCCAGCACTCGCTGTATTTCCTCATCAGCGGTGACACAGATGGAAGTCTGCACCTGGTTTATCGTCCACAGAACGAGGCTGCACGCCCACATTTTCACAACAAAATAGAACAGGCTGCAGTGAGAGTCTCTCTCCATGGGATATTTAAAAATAGCAGCTTTGTGCATTTAGTCCTTCTCAGGCAAGCTCAGGGGTTTAGTGTTGCTGTAGCCCACAGGAAGTGAGGATTAGAATATATGACCTTCACATAATCCGCTCCAAATTAATCTATATTTTTAAAGTCATTACTAAAAGTGTGTGTCATATAAAAACTAAAGTGATGGTCAAAGTTGTCACAGTGAAATTTAAGGTGTGCTGATGGATTCACGTCATCAACTCATGCATTGAGTAACATTACAAGTTAACGTTCCACCTTAAAAGTTGCCGGCAGTCGGCCCAGTGAATGAAGTGATTTTTTTCTCTTTCATTTTATAGCTGTAGTTTACTGATGTATGAACAGAGGTTACATAAAACCAGAGTGAGCGTCCTCTACTGACCAATCAGACTGCAGGGTTTCTAGCTCCACCTTTTAGTACCAGATCTGTGTGCTAGGTACCCCAACAGAGGGGGGACCAAACATGGGGACGCTAAGGAACGCTTCTGTTGGGACCATCCACAACTTTTCACACTGGAAATGGAAAATAAACGTACTGAACTGGACTGCTCGGTGGAAACGGGGCTTAACCTCCAGTCTCGTGCTCCTCCCACTCGGCTTGTGTCTGATAAAGAGACAATCTGGGCTTTAACTGTTGTTGGTTTCTTAAAGCAGTGATACAAATGTTTGAAGTTGTGAGTCGATCAGGAGACAGATTTCTGACTTTGTCTGCCGCTTAAAAAAATGATTGTTATATTGCATGTCAGTTTTTTCCAGCTCTAATTCATCATGTTTCCTGAAGATAAACTAACTGCAGTATATTCTCCATGATGAGCAGCTCCTTCCTCTTTCTGTCGAACTCAAATAAAAACAAAAATATATCTGACAGTTAAAGGAGAATGATCCAGATGTGTGATTTTAACAGACAGCTAACAGCTGGCTGTAAACATTTCAGTAACTTTGAGGGAATGTGTGTGTTTTGTTAGGGTGTATTTCCTGGACTGGTAGAGACTGAATGGTGTTGTTGACAGCAGAGAGCTGACAGTGTCACAGCTGCCATGTGAGGCTCCTCACCAGCTGGTTGGATATTAATAGACTCAGTAAAGTAACACAAGACTGGGAGGAGAAATGTTGTATCTGTCATCCAACACTAAAATTCTGATTAAAGGCTTTTTAATCAGGGAACACGACTGTAGCTGCCGTTAAAGACAGACACGTCTCGACTCAGACATTCACGCTCCCCTCAGGATGAACCATAATGTCTACAAACTGAGATCTGCAAGACCAGATTTTGGTATGACAGTCAAAGCCCGGGGTGGAAACTGTGAACAACTGAAATGGCCCTAAAGTGCTCCACAGTTTCCGCCCCGGGCTTTGACCCGGAAGTCCAATAGCATTAAATGTGTAAGAGAAGACGAAGCCGGTAACAACATGGAGAAATCTACATCCAGAGCCGTGACTTTTTGGACAGACCAAATGTACAGAGCTGTAAAGTTGTCCACCATGGTAGCAGTTAGCTGCTAGCTAACCGTAGCTAACTTGTTTGTCCATTGTTTGGTCTGTGACGTAATAGGTCAACAGGAAAAAGGTCCAATACTAACAAGCTGAAAGGGGGCATATCTCCACCTATCGTAGAGGAGTCGCACATACTTGGCTCAATAAATGGATTCCCCTCCCGTGCTTGTATACTGGGACAAGGACAGTAGGCCAGTTAGATGTCCTCGTCCAGCTGGAACTGTGACAGGAAACGTCCCATTCATTGTTGCATTTTCACCTTCGGACAATTTAGAGTCACCAATTTACCTGCGTGTCTTTGGACTGTGGGAGGAAACCGGAGGAAACCCACACTGACACAGGGAGAACATGTCAACTAACTTTCCTAATGTTGCTTATAAACACACGCTGATGGACACACAGCTCAGTCACTACAGCTGCATTAACATCGTGTTTGTCAGATTTTATAAATCTGCAGAGTCACCAGTATAAGCTGAAAGTGATATAATAAAAAACATTTTGCAGACAGACGTTTAGAAACACCATCAGATGTCCAAGTGTTTAAAGTAAGAGCCGTGCTCCTCCAGCAGAGACTCAACTTGTTTTACTTCTGACATGTTTTCACAAAGTGTCAAAACTCAGAGTGGACGACAGTGACAACACTTTATTTTACAGGTCTGACATATTTCAATCCTTTCCACAAGTTTCCTGAACAGAACTCTGTAACCTGGCGCTGATGACAGGAGAGGAAATCTAACTTAAAACAGCCGCACCAACTAAAACCCATCTGCAGATCGGCTGATGATAAAAAAAATTTGTAGTTGCTGCCCTGATTTAAACCCAGGTGTCCTTCAGATACGCTGCCTGTGGACGTTACTCCAATAATTCATTCTGTTTGATTCATTTGTCTCTATTTCCCCTCCAAATAACACAATGCATTCTGGTAAAACTCAACAGGAAGTCCTGCAGACGTGTAAAATAAAGCTTTTAGCCAACACTGTAACAGCAATCTAAATTCAAGACCACCTGTGACGTCGTGGCCTCTGAGAGTTTAGATTAAAAAATAATAAAAAATAACAACACGACTGACGTGAGTGGACTGATATAGGAAGTACAACAGTGTTGATGTCCACACAGACAGGAAGCAGCTGATCAATAACAGAAGGTGATTTTTTTTTTTTTTAAGTGGAAGAAATTGCTCATGTCTGGAAATAATCCGTCTCTCCTCTGGTTTCATCACGTCTCTTTTCTCTGAGTCTGTTTCATCAGTTCGTTCTATTTCAGAGCAACGTCACAAGTCTGCTCACACTGAAAACGTAAAAACACTTCGTCCTGGATCTGATCTGATCCTGGGTCTGATCTAATCCTGGGTCTGATATGATCTGATCCTGGATCTGATCTGATCCTGGGTCTGATCTGATCTGATCCTGGATCTGGTCTGATCCTGGGTCTGATCTGATCTGATCCTGGATCTGGTCTGATCCTGGGTCTGATCTGATCCTGGGTCTGATCTGATCTGATCCTGGATCTGATCGTTGCGGCCGGATGAGCTCAAAGCATGAAGGAATGGTCCCGAGCGCTGACGCAGGTCGAGGGTTGGATTCTCAGAGGAAGTCCATTAAGGAAAAAATAACAATCGTAGCTCAACCAACATCTCCATGGTGACGCAGGAATGATTTACTGAAAGTTTGGCCAGCTGAGAGGAGTGAGAGAATCTGATTGGGTGTCAGGGGGAAAGTTTCCCATGATGCTCAGTTACATCCTGACAAAAAAACAACCGAGAAACGGCTGATAAATATCAGCACAGATATTTCATACATAAACAGAGTGTAGATCTTGTTTTTTTTTGTATTTTTTTTTTAAACCCTCCCCCCTCCTGAAAGAGACGTGAAACGACCACAACACACCAACCAATCAGCTCTCTGGGTTTACAGGAGACAAACTGTACCATGTCTTTTTGTGGTCACTTTGCATCTTGGTGGTGGTGTTTGTTTTGCGTCTCAGAAGTGGTCGTCAATTTGTGTCTTTCAGTGGTCGTTTTGCGTCGGTCATTTTGTCTTTCTGGTTGTTTTGTGTCTGTCTGTGGTCGTCATCTTGTGTGTCTCGGTTTCTGTCCTTTTGGGCATCTTGGAGGACATTATGTGTCTCTGTGGTTGTTTTTTAGTCTCTGTGTGGTAATTTTGCATCTTTTTGCATCTTCTCGGTCACCGTTTTGCATCTCTCTGTGGTTGTCAGCCTGCGTCTCTTGGTGGTCATAGTTTGTGTCTTTGTGGTCGTTATTTTGTCTCTCGCTGTGGTCGTCCTTCTGTGTCTTGGTGGTCGTAGTTTTGTGTCCTTTTGCATCTCTGGTTTTGTGTCTTTTTGGACATTTTTTTAGTCTCTTTGTGGCTGTTTTGAAACTCTGTCTTGTCGTGTCTTTATGGTTGTTTTCTGTTTCTTTGAGGTCATTTGAAGTCTCTCTGTGGTTGTTGTTTTGCCTCTCCTGGGGGTTGTTGTTTCTTGTCTCTTAGTGTTTGTCATTTTGCACCTGTCAGAGGTCGTCGTTTTGTGTCTTTGCAGTCATTTTGTATAATTTTGAAGTATCTCTGTTGTCGTTTTGTCTCTTCAAGGTCGTTTTCCGTCTCTTTCAGCGACACTGTGCAGGTGAAGCAGAGCTCTCAGGTGCTGCAGCTGATCTTCAGTAATTATCCGACACCGGAGACGAACAGATTCTCTCTGACACCAGACTCAGTTTCACAGAAACACGTCACAGGTTTGTGTTTCTCTGTAAATGTTCGCTTGGATTTGGTTGCAGATTGTCAATATTTAAAAAAAACAAAAACAAAAAACAAACAAAAAGAAAAACACCATCTGGAGATCTACGTTTATCTGACAACAAGAAACGATAACAGTCCCTTCTATCACTTCCTGTCGGTCCACTGGGTCGTCCGTCCTGGACTGTAGAGACAAATATGGAAACAGAAAACCCACCACACTGGCCTCAGATCAGCTTCATGTCTTTATATTATTGTACTTGGAGAAAAGAGCGATATGAAGTCCTCCCCCCCTCCTCCCCGCTCCCCCTCCCCCCTGCTCCCCCTCCTCCCGCAGCTCAGTCTCAGGCGTCAGAGTCGTCGCTGCTGTCGCGGCTGATCTCGATCTGCAGCGACGGCAGGTTGTCCAGCCGGCTCTTCTTCATCTTGTGGGACATACGCTCCTGTTTCTGTTTGATCATGGCGCCCCACATCTTCTGCAGCGTTGAGTCGTCTTCCTCCTCCACCTCCTCTTCCTCCTCTCCGTTGCCGCGTTTCCTGCCGCTGCCCTCGCTGACGTCCTTCCTCCCCGAGGAGAAAAGACCCGCTGACCGGCTGCTCGACCTACGCTCGTGATGGCTGCCGCTGCTGTCATCTTCAGCGGAGCCGAGTCTGCTCCACAACCCACCTGCAGGGGAGGATGTGGGGAGGAGGTGACGAGGAGGTGATGGGGTTAAAAACAAACATCATAAACAGGCTCAGACATAAAGATCATTAATTTGTTGTTTGTTTTACAAGTTATGAGTTCGGCCTCCGTACCTGTCTTCCTGTCTTTGGATGAATTGGAGTAGACGCCTCTGGTGTCTTGACTGGCCACGCCCAGTCTGCGATGCACGTCTCTGATTGGTTCTCTGGCCGGAGGCGTGTCTCTGGTGGAGACGGGGGAGGGGGAGCGCCGTCTTTCGGGAGAGTAGCGTCTCTTCCCCAGCCGCTGCCGCACGTCTACAGAGGACACAGTCAGTTAATACATCAGATGTATTTGAATATTAATGAGGAGGAGGAGCTTGATGAGGTCACACCTGTCTTTCCACTGGTGACCACCGGGGGCGTCTGTCTGTGCTGAGACAGTCCCTGTCTCTTCTCCTCCAGCAGCTGACGAACGTCTGTCACCTTGGCGGGAGACGGTGATTTGGCCCTGGGCTGTGATCCTGACCCACCAACTCTGTTCCTGCTCACAACAACAAAACACAAACAAACATGAGATAAACAAAGTCTCTGCAGGTTAAACAGACTGATAGAGACCTTTTTAACACAAGAGAATAAAATTCAACACTTGGTCGCCATATTTGAGAGGGTAAAACCAGCCTGTAAACAAGTGACAGTAAACAGTAGAGCGTCTCTTCTTCTGGATATAAAGAACCGTAACGTTTAAATTTCTAGACTAATTTCAATGAGACCTTTTAATAATTGTGTTTATGATCTGTGAGTTGTTAAAAAAAAGTTGTGTCTCCATATTTAGTGTATAATCACTGCAGTACGCTCTGAGGAGGAGTGTGTGTTCAGACCAAAGATTCATGATGAAACGAGTTGAAACAAACACCTACTGTCGATGTAAAAACCTGCTGGTTCACAGGAAGTGACCACCATGAGACGGTGTATCATCTTTAGTCAACAACTCCAAAACCAGCATCAGATGGACTGTATTCATAATCAATACGCCACAATAATATAAATAACCAGCGCCAATTCATCAGTCAATGAGAATGTGTGTGTGTGGGCGGGGCATAAGCACATACAGNATTCATAATCAATACGCCACAATAATATAAATAACCAGCGCCAATTCATCAGTCAATGAGAATGTGTGTGTGTGGGCGGGGCATAAGCACATACAGGGAGCAGCAGCAGCGACCCACCGTCTGACACACTGTGAGGACAGAAACACAGAGGAAGCTAAAAACGTATCTGTTCTCTTTAACTGGCTCTGACTCTCCTCATTCAGCTCTGAAACTCTTTCTTTTCTTCTTTCTTCACACTGCTGCAACTCTTAAAATCTTACTGGATTTTATGATTTACAGTTTTACAACTCTGACTTTATGTCATGATTTTGACTCTTTATGATTTTAAGTCTGTTTATGTTCATTCTGTCTGTTGTCTTGTCAGCGCTGATACTGTCGTTATCCTGAAGCACTTCATCTACATCGCAGTAAAACAGTGAGAATAAAGATGGCGGCTGACCGGATGCTCTTCAGCTGAGTGTCCAGCTCATCGGCGTACATCGTCATCTTCTTGCTCTTCTTTGGCGACGGTGTGGAGATCATCTTCAGCTCCAGGTCATAGTCCATCTCGTCTGACTCCGACCACGGCGACGGAGAGCGCTCTGCGTGGCTGCGAAGCCCCGCCCCCAGCGAGCGCGAGCCACTGCCCCTTTCGCCTCGCTCTTTGTACTCGACCACCCTGTCGTCTGAGTCCATGTCCTCGTCACGTTCCTCCTCCTCCTCCTCCTCTTCCTCCTCCTCCTTGATGGGCTCCTCGGGCAGGTTGACCAGGTCAGCTGGAGAGAAGAGGAAGAGGAGGAAGAGGAGTGAAAGCTGTGTCCATGAAGGAGCGTCTCCTTTAATCAGAGCTCCTGATTTAATTAATGACACAGTATTTTAAACTTCCTGTTTCGCCTGCGTTCTCACATTTAGCATTTTTAGAGCATCAGCTTGTTTTATTCAATAAAAAATACGTTTGGTGTCTATTGCTCAGACTGAGGTGTGAGATCAAGTGTTTACCAGAGTGTCGATGTGTGTATGGCGGCGTGTGTCCCATGCTGTCTCCGATCAGAGGCTTCTTGCTCTTGATGACGTCTCGTTGGATCCTCCGGTTGTGATACCTCCTCTTCCTGCAGACACAGAGGACGTTAAAGACAAAGTGCTGCTTTAAACAATCCGGCGAGTGAACCATGTTTGAGTCTCACCAGGAGTTACTGAGGATCCCCTTCATGCCGCCGTAGTTCGGGTTTCCGTATTTCATGTAGTATCGGCTGCGACGAGCGGCGCCCAGCTCCTTCTTATCATCTGTGGACGAAAACACAGAGTCAGTAAAACGTTGTCTTTGTGTTTTAAATCAAACCTTTGTTGTCAGCTGTGGTTCAAAGTTAGGACGGGTTTAAAACAGTGTTGTCTGAGGCCGCGATCACACAGAGAACACACTGCAGGTTACAAAACATGAGGCGCACCGACTTTTCTTTTTCACACTGAATGACACTAGTACAAAAACACTTGTTCACCTCCTCACCCTAACCTTCCTGTGTCATCTTTATTTACTGTATGTATTCTGCAGTAATCAGTGTGTAGCTGCTGCCATGTTGAGGCAGAGGGTGCTGTTTGTAGCTCTGGTTGAGGGTGAGAGGCTGTCAGCAGATAAACAGAGATCTGTGTGGGTACATGAGACCCTAAAAAAGAGGCTGGATCATGGGGAGTACCACCAGTTGGTCCAGGAGCTTCTCCTCCATCATGGACGTTTACAGTACTGCACTTATCTGCTGTTTTCTTTTTAGATGGTGCTAACTGTGCTTTGTAAAGTCGTATAGCTCTGGGTATCCAGCAACCACTACCACCAGTTTCTCCTCCATTGTTTACCATCTGTAAACTTGTTGTTGTGACCACCACAGAAGCCCCGCCTCTCACATCATCCCATTGGACAGAGCAGAGATGACGTGGGGCACTTTTCTGCTCTGAGTTAAAGTTTTCTCTACTCAAGGAGTGCTCCGGCAAAAACACCAGGTGTTAGGGCGCAGAAACACAAGGTGCGTAGCCTCGTAGCAAAAAGTTTCCTCCAGCTGCTAAAACGCTTTCTGTGTGATCAGAACCTGAAGCTCCCAGATTTAACTTAAACCTAAACAGACCGGGTTTAACTAGACTTTACAGTTTAAATTGAGCATAGCGTTAGTTCAGACAGGACACGATGTCAAGCTCAGCTCACATCAGCTGATCTCAAGCAGCCAATCAATTGATGGATCAGCTGATAGATCACATGATTCCTTTCTATGGATTCAACTGGCTAATCTCATTCATGGCGCCCTATTTAAACTGCTTCCTACTGTTGCTACTTGGCAACCTGCCTCCACCCCAGCTCCTCCTTTATGTTGTGTCTGACTCATCAATGTCATTTCTGTTTGTCACTGATGCTGCTCTGTTCTGTTCCCAGGGGTCTTTGCTGCTGCTCGCCACTTACATATGTGACTGGTGTCTGTACATCTGTAAATATACAAAGGATGCCTCTGGTGTCCGACGCAAGGAAGTGCATTTCTTTACAGATGGACAGAAACCTGATGATAGATAACTTCTTTGTAATCAAACAAACTCACTTGATGATCAACAGGCAACTGAATTAAAGGAAATGACCTGCTCCTCCCTGAGGGCGGAGCTTCAAACAGATGTTCAGGGTGAGAAGCCTCTGAACTGAGTAAACTGAGGTTTAACTGGAGTTTTAAGTTTAACTGAGGTTCAGCAGAAGCTGGACGGAGGCTGGCGAGGTTTGACCTGAACTCACCGTGTGTGGCGAAGCGCAGGAAGAGTTTGTTTCCTTTGAAGGCTCTGGTGGCGGGTCGCAGGTCGTTTCTCAGCAGAGACTCTCTCTCTGCCCTCGACAGGTCATCCACCTGAGACACATACACACACACACACACACACACACACACACACACACTCAGCTGTTCATGTCGTCCATCAGTTATTGGAACAGATCAATACACCTGATCAGGATGTGTCGGAGTGAACTCTGCTCCACCTGAACGCTCTCCGCCTTCGTCTTCTGCTCCGCCTCTCCATCGCTGTCTTTCACCTCGATCTCCTCACCGCTCTTCTTCACAGTTTCCTCCTCGTCCTCTTCCACCTCGCCCTCCTCCTCTTCATCGTCCTCATCGTCATCTGACCCTTGACTCCGGCGACCTGACGAGTGAACAAACACACGGTCAGTTTTGATCCCTTTGAGAACCTGCTGAGTGCGTCTCCGTACGCACACTGACCTTTGCTCTGTGCGCCGGCTCGCTCCGTCCTTTCTGTTTCCGCGGTAACTGTCTGCTCGTCAGGCATCTGGCTGCTGTTGATGAGGGCGCGGATGGATGTGTTGTCATCGAGCCAAACCACGTTACCTAGGAAACAATCAGGTGGTGTTAAGACTCATCAGGTCCTCACTGAGCTCTGGTGTCAGGTTTTGTTTTTGCTTTTTTCTAACAGTCACCTTCAAAACATTTTTTTATTTATTTTGTTTTATTTTTATCTTATTCTGTTTTATTTAATTTCATTTTACTTCACTTTTTGTTTTATTTTCATTTTATTTTCTTTAATTAAATTAAATTTGAATTTATTTCATTTTATCTTATTAATTATTTATTTTTAAACGCTTGATGAAAATTGATGAAAAAGGACGTTGTGAAGAATTTAATTTCTTTTTGTAACAAGAAACGTGAGCTCACAGAGAAACTTTTACTGTAACAGAGTATTTTTACACTGTGAATTAGTACTTTTACCACAATAGAGGATCTGAATACTTCCTCCACCACTGTGTGTGTGTGTGTGTGTGTGTGTTACACTCACAGGAAGTGTCGTCGATCCACTCGATGTGTGCTGGAGGATATTCCTTAAAGTATCCGAAGACGTCCTGCGTGCTCATGTCATCCACGCCCGTCACGTAGATGGCCTCCATGCGCACTTTGGGGATAGCTGAGCACCACAGAAGAAGAAGAAGAAGATGACGACAGGTTAATACAAACACCTGTAAATGGTCACTCTGTGGTCATGTGACATGCAGGTGTCAGGTGACTCCTCCCACCTTTCTTCATGGTGTCTTTATCCAAGAAGACGTTCCTCTGATCGACATGCTCCTCTGGACGGAAATGGAAACGTCTGGCTCGCTTCTCTTTTCTCTCGATCGCCTCCTGACGATGAAAACACACGTCAACACTTCAGTTTCTGTTCGTTCAGCGCTTCAACGAGGAGGAGGAGCAGGAGGAGGAGGAGGAGGAGGAGGCTAACATTGGACCATATTCTGAAAGTGTTACTGAGTTTAACTGTATTTTCTCGTCTGTGTTGTGTTAAAAACAGACGTCTTGTCGACCACTCTGATCCACAGGTTACAGGGTGCGTCTACAGTTTACAGCATTTGATATTTATTTCAAACATCTATCACTCACTGACCCCTTTATTAGGTACACCTTGTTCATACTTTTTAATTCTTGGTGTCACAGACTCAACAAGGTGCTGGAAACATTCCTCAGAGATGTTGGTCCATATTGACATGATGACATCACACAGTTGATCCATGATGAGAATCTCCCGTTCCAGCACATCCCAAAGGTGCTCTATTGGACTGAGATCTGGTGACTGTGGAGGCCATTGGAGTACAGTGAACTCATTGTCATGTTTGAGATGATGTGAGCTTTGTGACATGGTGCGTTATCCTGCTGGAAGTAGCCATCAGAAGATGGGTACACTGTGGTCATAAAGGGATGGACACGCTCAGCAACAATACTCAGGTAGGCTGTGGTGTTTAAACCATGCTCAGTTGGTACTAAGAAAATCTCCCCCACACCATTACACCAGCAGCAGCAGCCTGAAGCGTTGATACAAGGCAGGATGGATCCATGCTTCCATCTGAATGTGGTTTTTCCAATCTTCTATTGTCCAGTTTTGGTGAATTGTAGCCTCAGTTTCCTGTTGTTAGCTGACAGGAGTGGCACCTGGTGTGGTCTTCTGCTGCTGTAGCCCATCTGCTTCAAGGTTGGACAAGGTGTTGTTGCTTCAGAGATGCTCTTCTGCACACCTTGGTTGGAACCAGTGCTTATTTGACTTCCTGTTGCCTTTCTATCATCTTGAACCAGTCTGGCCATTCTCCTCTGACCTCTGGCATCAACAAGGCATTTTGGCTCACTGGATATTTGCTCTTTTTGGGACCATCCTCTGTAAACCCTAGAGATGGTTGTGCTGAAAATCCCAGTAAATATTCAGACCAGCCCGTCTGGCACCAACAACCATGCCACGTTCAAAGTCACTTCAATCACTTTTCTTCCTCATTCTGATGCTCCGTTTGAACTTCAGCAGCTCGTCTTCATCATGTCTACATGACTAAATGTTAATGAGCTGCTGACACCTGATTGGCTGATTAGCTGTTTACATTGATAAGCTGTTGAGCAGGTGTACCTAATAAAGTGGTCGATGTATATATATATATATGGCGATTCATGATCCCTGCTGCTGTAAGACAGTGAGAACATTTGAATAAAATGGATGGAGGACTGTCTGTCTGTCTGTCTGTCTGTCTGTCTGTCGTACCTTTGAGTTGACATCAATCCCGGTGATGAACGCTCCAGCCTTGTTCTCATATCGCCGGCTCGTATCCTTCAAAACAAAGCACAAAGACACTTTAATGAGACACCTGTCAGCCCCTCTGATTGTGACTCAACCAAACACTGACCTGATGATGTCAGCAGGACTGTTAACAAATACATTTAAAGTTGAGACCAACAGTTTAAATGAAAACTCCTTTCAGACTAAAACTCTGACATAACACCTCCACTGAGCGTTACACCAAACTCCCATTCAAACAACACTTACTTTAATTCTTATCTAGCTCAGTAACACAGTGACTACACACCCTGTCCTACCTGAGGCAGGTGAACCAACAGGTGACGGAGACCTGCAGTGATACATTCACCTCCGCAGCAGACTTTACAGTGTTCTAGTCACTGTGTTCTGGTGAGAAGATGAAGTAAAACTACCTCTAAAAGTTCATCAATTTCTCTTTTATATGTGATTATTAACGTGCCGAATTGATCAGAGACTCTGTGTGTGTCAGAATCATCAAACATTTTTAATAATCATTAAAACGCTCCGTTATTTCGCCGTTAAAAACGTTTAATTTCCAGTGTTCTTACCGAGGTTTGGTGGCACGGTGACTCCATCCAAACACACTACATGAAGCAGCTTCCAGCAACAAGTGAGTGAAATAACAAACAAGTGAGCGGCCGCTAAACAAACACGTTTTAACTCTGGACCGGCTCGTGGTAACAGCCGGTAACCGTTGGCCCGTTAACGGTCACAGTGCTAACAACTACAACCGGAGAGAGACAGCCCGGAGTCGACGTTAACACACGCCGGCTCTTGGTGCGCTCCCGCCGGCCGCCAGAGACGCCAGTCCCCGGTCTGACAAGGCCTCAACCAGACACTTACCGGTAGCAGCTCCTTCAGGGAACGGTTAACGGAGATGTCCTCCGCCTCCAGCTCTCCCTCCTCCACCTCCATCGGTTCGGCTTCGCGGGCATCTCTGTCCGACTCGGAGTCGGAGTCTGAGTCCGAGCGGTCCGAGCCGCTGTCTGATTTCACCGACACCCGTAAGCTACGTACTGCCGCCATGGCGCGAGCTGCGAACAACGGCCGCTGCTGCTGGAGGTGCTGCGGTTGTTTTGTAACCCGGTAATGATTCTGTCCTCTCGCTTCTTCTTCGGTGGTGTTGAGGCGGGAACAGACGTTACACCGGAGCATCAGCGCCACCCGGTGGATACTGTGTGTCTGTGTTTTTATCGCCTCAGTCTGACATTTATAAATTAAATTAAATTAAATTAAATTTAACAGTAATCTTATTGACTATCGTGTGATATTATATAATTTACTGAAATTTAGTTTATTGTAATAATGTTTTATACTGTAATTTAAACTAATTTAATTCACGTTAAATTAATCTCTCTACTATATTTATTGTAATTTGATTTAATTTACCATGATGTAACTTAATTTAATTCAATGTAATATAATTTATTGTAAAATAATTGACTGTGATTCAATTTATTTTATTGTAATATTATATACTGTAGTTCAAACTCATTTAATTTACCGTCATTTAATTTCTTTAATATATTTATTGTAATTGTATTTAATTTACAATGATGTAATTTAATTTTTTTTCACTGTAATATTGCTTACTGCAATATAATTTATTTAAAATAACTGACTGCAATTTAATTTATAGTAATATCATTAACTGTAATTTATATTAATTTCTATATGTTTACTATACCTTAATTTACCATGAGTAAATTAGATTCACCATAATTTACTGCAGTGAATTTACAGTAATATAACTGACTATTGTGTAATTTACCATTATACAATTTACTGTCATTTAATTTATTGCAATATAATGTAATTTACCATAATGTAATTTACTATAATTTAATTAATTGTTATATTATTTACTGCAATATAATTTATTTGTAAATTAACTGACGGTAATTCAAATTATGGTGATATAATTTCCAATAATTTCAATTAATTTCTTTAATATATTTACTGTAATTTAATTTGATTTATTGTAATATTTTAAGTGAAATTAATTGAATTCACAGTAATATCACTGAATACTATTAATTAATTATTGCAAAATAAATTAATATACCATAATGTAATTTACTATAATTTAATTAACTGTAATATTATTTACCATGATATAATTTATTGTAAAATAACAGGCTGTGATTTAATTTGCTGTAATATTGTTTACTGTAATTTTATTTGACTTCATTTAATTTACTGCAAAACAATTTTATTCCAATTAACTGTATTTAACTCGATTTGATTTACCACAGTGTGATTTACTGTAATTTATTATAAATTCATGTAATTTAATTTGTAATAAAACAATAAGATAAATCATTTTAGCACAAATACAGCAATACGACAGATAAATAGAGAAAATAAATGATTAAATAATAAGACATATGAAAAGTAAAACAAAAGTCTGAAAAAAAATAGAAGAACAAAACAAGAACATACGGAGACAAAAATGACAAGATAAAGTGACAGCAGTGACACATCTGACTGATTAGAAACGAAATAAAAATTAGTTGGACTGACTCAAAATGTGAATTCTTTTAAAATCCTGTTAATTTTATTATTATTATTATTATGAAATTAATTAATTTTATTTTGTTTTAACAGTGTTTGTTAATCTATCAGCAGAGATAGAAGGAAGGTTTATAACAGTACCAAGAAACAATCACAGCTAACACACACACACACACACACACACACACACACACACACACACCACAGAAGAAGAAACAAAAATCGTTGTCGTCCTGCAGAAACTTTATAACTTCAGATTTTCATGCAGAACGTTGAACACACACAGAGCGACATCTTTGTTTATGCTACATCTTCCTGTCATCATCGCCCTTTCAAAATAAATTATTACTCTTATTCTGAAAAAATCTGAACACAGAAAAAAACAAACAGATTTACACCTGAAATCAGAGCGAGAAGAGAAGGAACAGTTTGTGCTTTCAGTGCAGTGCAGACAATTACAGTTCGGTCGGTGCTTCAGACTGTACATATTTCATATTTCATATATATAACATCCACAGAGCGACGTGTCATTGTAGTGCAAATTATTCCTGTGTCCTGTCAGTTTTTGCATCAGACGGCAGTGAAGCTTCCTGTTTTTGCAGGTTTACAGTCTGTCGTGTTCGGCGTGTTCACGTTAATATCTTCACAGCACTTGTTTGACTCGCGGCTGCAGTGACGACGACAGACTGATGGTTCAACAAGTGTCGGCCGTGAAGATGATGTTTACATTTAAAACGGAGTGAACGTACAGACGTCATCAAAGATAAAAGAAAAGACATTTATAATATTTAGATTCAGAGCAACACGGAGTCACAGTGGCTGCAAAAGTTTGGGCACCTCTGGTCACAAGTTCGTTTACTGTGAATCGTTTAGTGAGTAGAAGAAAGTTAAGGATGAAAAATGCTTTTCAACATTTTAGTAAGATCAGTGTATTATTTTAGTTTTGTACAATTTTAGAGGAAAAAAAAAAATTAAAGGAACACCGTCCAAAAGTTTGCCCCCCCCACCCTTTAACGTCGGCATGATATGCGGCCGTACTTTACTTTAACAGCAACTGGCAGCCTCGTGTTTTTGTTGTCATTCATCTGCTTCATGTAGCGTTGTTGACGTAACGGCCTGGACACACCAGATGCAGTAGTGCCGCAGAAGTCCTGCGAGTAGGAACAGGAACCTTCCTCCTCATCCGCTCTCTGTCTCAAATTGTCATTAACTTATTACGTTATAAAATACGGTTAAAATATGGCCTTACCCATGTTTAAAATGACCTGTTGAAGTGAAAAAACGAGTACTGACGGGAACAGACGAGTGGAGTCGATGTTTAACCGGCGCGGAGAGCGCAGGAGAAATGCGCTGCCTGTGTGGACAGTCATATTGTTCTGACCATTTTATTTATGTAGTCTGTAGGCTCAGTGACACTAAATTAAAATTGTAATGAAGTGATTATGGTATTGAAAAATGTGTTCGGTTATGCACTGTTGTGTTATTTTAAATTATAAACACGGTATTTTCTCCTCTCGTTCCTCAGTGCGTGCTGTTGTTATTTTATTTTGAAAATTGGCCGGATTCTCTCGTCTTTTCTGTGTCCGACTTCCTGTTTGGTACAATCCGCTCTATCCAGCTTGACAGAAGAGCTCGCGGCTCTGAAGCGCTGCGGTGTGTGGATGTCTGTTCATCTTTTCGTTCATGTCCTTATTAATGCACACTTTATAACTTGCTTGTTGGATTTATTAAAAACGAATGAATGAAAACTAAATGTCTTTGAATATCTTTATTATCATTTAAAAACGAAAATTAAAATGACCGGTAAAAATAGATTATGACTGGATTTTTATGACCCTGTCATTCAAAATGACCGGCGACAAAAAAGTCTAGTGCAACGTCTGCACCCAGGGTACCTTGGACGTCATATGTGGACGTGGAAAGTCCATGACCAAACGTGGACATGTGACGAGGTCACAGTGAGGATGAGCTGTACTCAGACCTTAATGAGCTTGTTAGGGCTCTGGCTTGTTCACAGTCATCGTTAGGAAAGGCCAGGTGATGCAGATTTCAAAGCTTTATAATTCCTCTGACTCCTGAAACCTTGTCCCAACAATCAGCAGCCATGGGCTCCTCTAAACAGCTGCCTAGCACTCTGAAAACTAAAAGACCTGATGAAGACTAGAAGAAGATAGCAAAGTGTTTTCAGGGAGCTGTTTCCTCAGTTGGTCATGTCAGTAAGAAATGGCAGTTAACAGGAACTGTGGAGGTCAAGCTGAAAACTTTGTGTGAGAGCTGCTCGTAGGATTGTTAGAAAGGCAAATCAAACCTCTGTTTGACTGCAAAAGACCTGCAGGAAGATTCATCAGACTCTGGAGTGGTGGTGCACTGTTCTACTGTATCACAAGTTTGCAAAGGAACATGTGAACAAGCCTGATGCTGTTTGGAAACAAGTCCTGTGGACTGATGAAGGTAAAACAGAACTCTCTGGACACAATGAGCAAAGGTATGTTTGGAGAACAAACGGTTAAACACGGGGGTGGATGGATGATGCTTTGGGCTTGTGTTGCAGCCAGTGGCACGGGGAACATTTCACAGGTAGAGGGAAGAATGGATTCAGTTAAATTCCAGACATCACAGCATCTGTAAAAAAGCTGCAGATGAAGAGAGGATGGCTTCTACAACAGGACAATGATCCTAAACACACCTCCAGATCCACAATGGACGACCTCAAGAGGAGCCAGCTGAAGGTTTGGCCACGCCCCTCACAGTCCCCCGACCTAAACATCATTAAACATCTGTGGATAGAGCTCAAAGAGCAGAGCATGAAGACGGCCCAAGAATCTCACAGAGCTGCAAGAAATCCTCCAAACAAGAACTGAAAGACTCTGAGCTGGATACAGAAAGTGTTTAGAAGCTGTGGTACCTGCCAAAGGGGGCGCTACTGAGCACTGACCATGCAGGGTGCCCAAACTTTTGCTTCAGGCCCTTTTTCTTTTTTGTTATTTTGAAACTGTAAAACATTGAAATTAAAAAGTCATCTTACCGAAAATAAATGTTTCATCTTTAACTTAATGACTTTTGAAGATCGGTTCATCTTCTACTCACTGAACTATTCACAGTAAACTGAATTTTGACCAGAGGTGCCCAAACTTTTGCACAACACTGTACATGCAGTGATCGTCTGTGGCTGTCGAGGGTTTAAAGTGATTATTGCGAGCGCTTCTGCAGGTTACATTTAAACTTTTTAATGTCACATGAAAGGATAAATTAATGCAGCGAACATGTTTTTACAGTGAAATGTTTTCTTTTAGAATCTGAATGTAAATGTAGACATGCATATGTAGAATTTATGTTATTTACCCTAAAATTAAACATTCCTTTGATTTTCCATCACAGAAATAAATCATTTTTTAACAGAGGACATTTTCAATTACAGATAATTGCTGTGAATTCACATACATTTGTATGTAATCATAAAAATATTGCAGTAATGTCACAGTTACTGACTGATAAATTAGGATTCATTTATTATTATGGCATGTTTCTGTTCAGGACTTCCAGCAGGATATCACCATAACCCCTGGTTATATTATTAATTTAACGTGCGGGACCTGAACCTGGACACGCAGCAGGAAACTGATTAAAAAATGATTAATTGAAGTGTTTGGTAAAATCTCGACTTCTGTCTGCAGCAAAACTTTCTGGGAAAACTGAATTTAAAGTTTTAAATGTGCGAAAACTTTATTTTTTCAAAGTTTAGCCAAAAAAGACGCAAAGTCATGTTTCTGATGTAATAAATAAATGCGGATCACAGAGTATGAACCAGACGTCACTCTGGTACCTTCAGTTTGTAATCTGATAATGACTCATTTTTTTATCAACTTAAATGTCAAAGTGCATTCATTAATATTTGTATCTGCTGAAAACAAATACCAAAACATGTTACATTTATAGACCCTTTACTGTTGGTAAACAGTGTGATGTTTGTTGGTGGGCGGGGCTTAGCTGGAGGCAAAACAGTTCTCCACAGACATTAGCTAGCGCTAGCTAACAAGTTGTGTTGTCTTGTTTTAGACGATGGAGGAAGATGATGTGAGTGGTGCGTTCAGAAACACTCATTGTGAGTGTGGGAGCGCACTCTGACACAAACTGGAGCGTTGATAAATTGGGAGCGCTGTCTGAATGTAGCGTTGGGTTATCCAGAGCAGCGCACTCTCAGAGTGGCAGAGCGCACTCTGGACACTCTGTCTGTGGAGACGGAGCAGCAGAGCGCCGAGCGGAGTGAATGTGTGATTAACTTAACCGTTGGTTCATTCATGTAGAAATATAACGCTGCGTTTCTTCCACCAACAGGGCTCTCATTTTAGTGTAGAGCGTCAGACTGAATTTACCAACGCACCATGTCAGGTCACTCACTCTCCGGGACCGCCAGTGTTACTTGAATAAGTAAACACTGACCAACGGGACCAGACTGGCCGACCCGTATGCTCTCACTCAGTGGATGGATGATGTCACAGGAAGCCAATCTTACAAAGGAGGACCACACTTGTTTGTTTTGCTATGGAAGCTAACGTTAGCTAATGTGCTAAAAAGTTAGCGTTGCAGAGAAATCCAATCTTCCTCTTAATCCCTCCCCAGTTTCTGATGAGGTGGACATGATAACCCTTAATACACATAACCTTATTCATCCCTACAACAGGAAATACTTTTTCCCTAACCTGATATGAAGTGTGCGCTGCACATGTGAGCATTTTTGATGATGGCCTCCGTCCAGTCCTTTGGTCTTATCACATTTAACCATAGTTGTCTTTGTTTTTGTTGACGGGCAGTGGCGGCTGGTTTTGAGCCATGACTCCTTCTATTCTGGCTCCCAATAACACAACAAGACAAACACATTTTAACACTCCTATGGAGCCTACAGCCCTGTGGGGGAGAGGCAGCTGCACCTCCAGCTGATAACATGATGTCATTGTGACGTCGGCCCTAAAAGGGTCTATTAAAACTAAAAATAAAAACAATATTAGGTAATTAAATATTAGGCGATAAATGAGAGAAATATTATTTAGTATCTTCCTGTGAACATCAGCCTTCAGCTCAGCGTCCCTGAAAAAAAAACAAAAAACACTTCATCAGACTTTAACAGACGTCGACCCAGTCGCCAGAACAAATGTTGGCATTGTACGTTTCTACAAACCACAGATACGTCACTTTTGTACGTTATGATATGAATACGGTGAAACTTTACTTTTTAGCAGTGCTGTGGTTAATGTGTGGTTACGCTTAGGCACAAAAACCTTGTGGTTATGGTAAGAAAAAGTTTTTGGGGACCTATCTGCAGTGACAGGTCACTAAAGGACACCAACATAAGGTGTTGATGGTGGACGGTGTGACACCTCTGAGAGACACCTGCCAACCCGCAGACCACCGTTCAACACCAACAAACAACACAAATGGTTGTTTTTAGCGACCTGTCCCTGCATTTCCTGTCGGCACAGTGACATGAAAAGTGGTTATTACATATATAACATATATAAGATATAACATATAACATACACATTTTTCCGTGGTTTGCAGAAATGTACGATGCCAACATTTATTCTGGTGACTGGGTTGGTTAAGTTCGTAGCTGTCTTGCTATCACCACCTTCATTTGTAACATTTGCAGTTCTTTCACGGATTCTGAAATCGTGGCTTTGATTTAAAGGCGGGACTTTCCAATGATGCACACTTCTTCTCAGAATGACAGGAAGAAGTCCTGCCTTTCCTCTGTCGGACCCGTCCTACCAAGAACGCATCCTCAACTCTGAGAAGCACCATAAGCCTCCACTATGAAACACCTGATCCTACATGTCCCATAATGCACATGGATCTTTCAAACACCTCCACCTTGGAGCGCAGGCTCTCTGTCAGTCATTTAGGACTCTGTTTTTGTGAGTCGCTCTGCTCAGTGTTTGATGGCCCGGCTCACCTGGTTCACCTGGGACGCTGTTAGATTTGGGTTGAGATCATTATCATACGTCACAGGAGGGCATGTTCGGTTTAAAGACAGGGACGTCCCTGTCATGATGAAACTTATTGCTGTGTGGGACCTGCACAGGTTAAATATGAACTCATATAAAGACTGTTTCTAAAGTTGCACCACAATTCTGGGACCGTTAAAGATCAAACTCACAAATCGACAAACTGCATCAGCGCGACACCAAAATGCAGCCCACGCAGTCTGACCTGACCCTGATGACATCACTATGACATCATCTGTGTCATTTATCTCCTCCAGAGACACAGCAGAAGAAAATTTAACGTGTTTTCATGGTGTGAGGATTTAAATTACGGAAAGTAATGTGTGTGTGTGTGTGTGTGTGTGTGTGTGTGTGTGTGTGTGTTGACATGCACAGTTCTGCAGGTTTGATTGCCTCTGAGCAGAAAAGATGCAGCTGCAGCAGCGAAGGACGAATATATTGAAGTGATTTCCCTTTTTATCCTCAGTGTGTGTGACTGTCCATCAGTGTCTTCACATTAATGTCCTCCTCCTCCTCCTCCTCCTCCTTCTCCTTGGACGTTTGACTCAACCTCCTCATTATTAATCTGCCAAAACAGAAGAGACAAATAACCAGAAAAGGAAATATCTGTAGAAACCTCAGTGTGAATGCTGGATGTTGAAAAGCTGGAGCTGCACCGAATATCTGACTTTAAAAGTCGAATTCTACCGATAATGTATGAAAGATGTGAAACATTTGCTTTAAAGTATGAATAAGTCAGAAGACTGGAGAGAAGTGTCAACATTTCTAGAACCTGTTTGTATGTCTTGTTTTTAAGTTGGATTTATACTTGTGATACTCTGATACTCACCTCCGTCTGCTCTCAGTTTAGTTCCCCTGCTGCAGACAGACACGTGTTGACACAAGTGTTACAGTCAGAAAATATTTAAACATCTCAACACGTCAGTGTCTTCACATTATTTTCTCCACATTTAACCACAGTAACAGTGAGACAGAGTTCACGAGGACGAGACACCTCCACTTGGAGTAGTATCCAGCTGGGCTTTATCTAGAGATCGCCAGATATATTTCGGCCGCGCTTTGGAAAGCAGAGCTAGATGATAAACAAACATGGCAGCACACCGGTAAGGTAAGACAACACGTTTACATGTGGTTTTCTATATGTTCTCTGACATTTATCCTAACGATATGAGGCGGTCTTTGTGGAAAAAAAGCTTGTTTAGTGGACTAACTTTGCACTTGAAGGTTGCCCGTTCACTTACGTTTTAACAGGTCTGACGCTACTATGTGCCCCGGCTGTATCTAGGCTAACGGCTAACATGCTAACTATTATTTTTACGTCACTAGTCACTTGAAACAAATTTAGGACGATAGGAGACAGGTTGAAATAAACCGAAATTTCCCTTTAACTGAAGTTTTACAATAAGTACATTTAATCAGTTTCCACCCAAAAGTAACTCAAATTTTGGCTGATTTTACAGGAAATCATATAATAACATCAAACTGAAGTCTGATTTCCATAGGAATAAAAGTATGATATATAAACAGCTGGTGGCGAATTCTTCAGGCGGTACCTACAATTTTTATGTTATTTTTTACCAGTAAAATTACAAAAATATTGAGGTCAAAATACAAGTACCTACAGTAAAAGTACTCATTATGAAGAACTGCACACTGTGACATAAAATGTACATTTATATCAGTAAACTTTAGAAAATAGGGTTTTAATTAGAACAGAGTATTTCTACCTTTACTTAAGATCAGAGTTCTATTTTGACCATTTTCTGGAAATTCAATTGAAATTTTAACAACATTTAGATAAAATTTCAACTGAAAGAGAGTTTATAATGAGACTGTGACTCAGCTGTGAAGAACTGACTTGTATGAAAGGATTTATATAAATAAAGTTTGACTGAATGACGTCAGCATGTAAACAGTCACAAATATGTGAAAAATATATTTCTTTAAAACATATTGGATAGATAAATAAACAGATGAGGTGACATCCAGGCTTTTGAGTCCAGAGTCACTTTACACACACACACACACACACACACACACACACATAAATACATAAAGTCGGACTTACTGCAGCCGAGTGACTCAACTTGTCAAAGCGAAACTTGAGGTTGGATCTGGGAGAGTTTTTATTTTTCACCTCTGAAAGACGACAGACAACAAACTGTGAGTCGTCACAGTCAGGTTAACACAGAGGTAAATATTAGTCGAGCACAAGTGTTCATTTATGTGCGTGTTGAACCTGTGGGGCTGCGACAGATGATGAGCGGAGCTGAACTTTGACCTTCAACCAGCGCAGCCTGGGCGAGCTGAAGACACAGAGAGCAGACAGACGAATATTAATGATAACTCTATTAAAATATGAGCTTTAAAATGTTTTAATTTGTTGATCCACAGCAGAACTTCCTGTTGTCCCAATAAATTCAGACTGTGTGTTTCCTTAGTTTCATTCACAAGTGATTTCAGCTCCTTTTAAAAGGTTCTGTATGTAACTTTTGACCAGTGTTAACTGTTTTGTTTATTGCAGATGGGTGAACAAGTTGTAACTTAACTTAAAACTGAGACCTTCCCTGACTTCCTCTGTTGTCTCTAACAGCCTGTGGACTGACTTTAAGTGAAGGACTTGGGACAATTTTTCCCAAAAAATCCAAATGTAGCGTGATGCACGTTCCTGAGTTCCCTGCCTCTCTTCAGCTGTGCTACAGTGCTAACACTTGGCAACACTAGCTAACGTTAGCTTAGAAATGGAGACCATTAACATTGACAAATAACCAGCACCCACCACAAGTCCACACACACTGTGTTTCTGTTACCGGGCCACCCTCCCGACTGCCCCAAGTCCCTGCTGGATTAGCAAACCTTCTGTTGCTGCTGTTACATGGGTTAGACCCAGCCCGCTGTGAACCCTGGGGCTGGGGGGTTTGAGCTGGTTGACTTTGAGTTGCTAAAGCGACAAAGGTTTGAGCTGCCATCCACTCTCTTCCTGGGAAGTAGTGTCTTAGCGGCAGGGAGTGAGGCGGAAGGAACTCCACGTGGGCGGACAGCAGGTGAGAACAAAAATATTATTTTTATTTTTCAGAATAAAACGCAATAAAAAGCTGTGCAGTATATGTGTAATATTCTGACATCTAAATCGCTATTATCAAGCTGCAGTTCCTTTTATTTTGAAAGTCAGCAACACAAGTGTAACCTTTGACCCTGTGGTCTCATTGGTCACCGACGTGGAGGACTCCAGCCATGAAACTTTGCAGCCCGAGGATGAGGTGCAGCCTACATGGAGTTTGGATCCTTTGGAGGTTTGATGGTGGTGGAAGGAGCATGCTAACATGTTTCCTAACCTGGCAGTGATTGAATGTTTTCACCATCCAGTCAAAGAGACGTCCAATTCAAGAACAGAGATCCAGCTTCATGTGAGGGACTGGAGCCTGGGGGGGTTTAATCACAGGTGTGGCTTTGACTTGGACATAATGACAGGTAACGGGTCTGTTCTGGTGCTGAGCTTTACAGGCAACTGGGAGGTTGCATGTTGCAGGACTCTGATCTGAACTCTGCTCATCACTGTTTGAAAGAATTTATTTGACTTTACTGTCAGAGGAACAAACATGAACTCTTGTGTATTTTCTCACCAGGTGTGTGTCGTCAGCCGGGACGCTGAAGCTGCAGGTGCTGGATGTCGATCTGGAGATCTTACTGCTCTCCTTCTTTATGTGAGGCCTGCAGAGTGAAACAAAACATCAGCCGACACATTCCTGTTTCTGTTTCCATGTTTCTCTCAGGACTGATGAACACTGCCAGTTTTTCTTTTGGCACATTTTTGGTTCTATGTTTCGGATATTTGTGTATTTCCTGGATTTGTGTTTTTAGCCTTTAAAGGTTCTCTGTGTTTTATTTTAAATAATAATATTATAATATTCATGAAGAAGGAAATGATCAGCCGTGTTTATCACATTACTGAGTCTTAGTGAGAAACACTGAATAAAAACAAACAACAGTAGTGTTTACATTATTTACATGATAAAACTGTTGTTTGTATTTATTGTATGCATCCACCTGCTGACCGTCTTCTTCTTCACTCGCTTTATGATGTGTGTGTAACCAAACTACTTGCCCGCTCAAACACACCTGTCCCGTTGTCCCGCCTCTGGAGAGCTGGGATTGGACGGCAGCTCTGACCTCACCTCCAGTGTCGGGTGGCAGCTGTCGAAGCTCCTCTGCTCGCTGAGGAGGCTGAAACAGGAAAGAGTTAAAGAACGACATGTGGTGCAGTCCAGGAGGACAGACAGAGGACAGAACGGTCTGACTGATGTGTGTTATGTTGTAGATTGTACAGGTGATTGATCAGGTGATTGATCAGGTGTGTTATAAGATGTAATGTTGTGGTTTCAGCAGCAGAGCCTAAAAGAAGATGTTACCTCCTCAGGTTGTGTTTCTCTGTTTGGCTGTCGACGCTCAGCAGACGAGGAAAAAGTCCTGAACGTCTCTTCACAGGAGATTTCACGTTACACTGACACACAACACACAACAGCTGTTAACACACACTGTGACAAATAAAAAATATAATTTATATATAAAGAACAGAACTGTAATATTAATGTTTTTATACTGATTCTTTCCTTCAATAAAAAACTAAGTTAACTGAGATAAAAACTGAGATCCAGACACCACATGTTACTGACACCAAAGAAGAAGAAGAAGAATAGAATTACTGTAAAACTTTAATTAATAGCCCCGGCTTATATTTGGGACAGGCTTTTTATTCCTGTTACACAAACCTGCTGCACTACAAAGACAGGAAATACAGTCAAACTGTTTTTTTTTAAATCAGTGTGAACATTGACTAGTTTAAATTTTTGGTTTGTGAATAACATCAATTATGAAGGAGTCACCACTTTTTAGCGTCTCTAAATCTAAATAAATGCCGATATTCTTTGGTGCTCATGGTTTCTGTAAAATGAACTGAATGATTGAATTGTAGAGAATAAACAAAGTTTAAACATTTATATTTGTTAGGTGATCGAAGCAGCGAACTAAAGTTCGCTCCAGCAAGTAGAAAACAACCTGGTTTTATACATCCAAAGAAGTTTCATAAAACAAACTGCGTGGCAACCAGACCAGGCCTCTAATTGAGACAGGCCTTTTTTTGTCAAAATGTGAAGCTACACAGGGCTGGTAAAAGAGACTGGGCGTTTTACGGTAGTCAGAGTCTATTTAGTCAATGTTCCCACAATATATTTATATATAAAACCAATTTAATGAAGCAAATTAAAATTAACAAAGTAAGTGTAACAAATAAAACTCAACCAAATTAGGACAAAAGTTTTTCATCAGTAAGGTTTCAATCCAAATGTAGCAAATCAGCAAAAAAAAAAGAAAAAAGAAAAAAGTGATTTTATGTTCTTTTCCACCCACTGCACGTAGTCTAAATTACCTTTTATTACTTTTACCAACTCACTTGAACTTGTGATGTTTGAATTCATTTGACAATGCGTATAAAAAATAGGTGGATGAAAAAAACCCCAACTCTTCTCACCTCAATGCTGATGTGAGCCAGACCCCCCCCACTCAGACTGGTGGGCAGACCTGCCCCGCCCCGTGACATGGTCTCCATGGAGACGCTCCTCCCTCGCATCGCCCTCTGATGGAGAACGACAGAGTGACAGGTCAGTACTTCTGAGTAACTAGCGTCTGGATTAACACTGGACATAAAACATGTCGCTGTTATTTATAAGTGTTCCACAGTTTACATATAAATTAAATGAGGAGGCAACAACAAAAAACATCAGTATAGCTTGAACGCATCATAATGAAACTCACTGATAGCTAACAGCTAATGTTAACTAGCAACTAACAGCTAACGTTAACTAGCAACTAACAGCTAACGTTATCTAGCAATTACCAGCCAACAGCTCACATAAACAAGCAACTAATAGCTTACTTTAGTTAGCAACTATAAGCTAACAGCTTATGTTAACTAGCAACTAACTGCTGACGTTAACCAGCACTCCTCCTGATGTCATCACAGATTTGTCGTTAACAGTGTAGCATTATCAGGGAAACAACAGGCTGCGTCCTCTGACGCGTCAGTGGTGACTTTACTGCGTCCTGTTGTCCTGGAAAGGATCTCTGTTCGTCCCAAACACGTCTCTATTGTTCTCGGGATGATGGGACACCGTAAGACTGGAGCATTGCATTTTACCTGCACAGAACTTTGGCCACTGTCATCGATGAATGTCATTTTACTTGCTGACATTGATTGACATGATTGTTAATGTGCTAACTGGCTAACCGACTAAGTAGCATCAAGATGGTCTTCCTGATTACAGATTAACACTGTCTGCTGGTGTGCAGGGGTATTTTCTCTCACGCAGGTGCAGAATGTATATGCTGGTTGACCGTCGACTGTAGTCATTACAGTGTGTTCATGCACAACTTTTTTCACAGAGACACAGCGACATCAGGGACCTAGCAGGAGGCTTTTGTGACCGCTAGTTCTCTGAAGTCTGTTTGGTGTGTCTGGGCCTTCAGTGATTGTAAATTTCGTCACCATGAACAAAGTGGAGCACAAATCTAAAGTTTTGCACACAAATAAAAACAAACAAACAAACACACCTTGATGGACTCCAGCAGACCACCGTGGGCGTGTCCGTTCTCAGCTCGCCCATCCTCCTCTAGACCTGACGTCAATCCCAGCATGCTCTGGGAACGTCTGTGCAGCTCATCATGGAGGGTGTCCAGCAGGGCGGCCCGGGTACGCTCCTACACGCACACACACACACACACACACACACACACACACACACACACACACGCACACACACACACATTCATTAGTATTGTCGCATGTGTGAATTTTATCATGTATAAAGAAAACAACAGAGGATCTAAAATTGAGCCCTGAGGAACACCACAACTGAACGCATTTATTTGAGTACTTCAGTACAGTTTTGAGGTACTTGTGTTTTACTCGAGTATTCCATAACTGTACTTAGTTACAGTACATAGCTCTGCTGATGAACAGACAGCACAATGTTTTTAGGTGTTCTTACCTCCAGCCGGGCGAAACGGTCACTCTTGTAGCACGCCAGCTCTGCGTTGATGAGTTTGGTGAGAAGGAACTCTCTGAACTCTGGACCCTGAACACACAAACAACTCATACGTGAGTTTGTGTCACACTCTGCACACTGAGTCAACCCTCCTCTTCCTCTCACCTTCTTAAAAACAGCTGGGTTCGGGAGGGGCGGGCCAAACAGAGGGACGTCTTCTCGTGCTGTGACGGACACCTGTCATTCACAACAGTCTCTACTGTCACTGACATAAACAACAACAACAACTTCACAACATGTCATCTGTCTGTATTAAACATGCTCAAAGAGACATGTAGGTGGAACATGTCGTCACCTTGTACGAGGTGGTGTCAGAGCAGGGCTCCTCCACCTGCACCAGGATAAAGGCATGCAGGAAGTTGGAGGCGATCATGTCGGGGACAAAAGGTGTGGCCTCTTCCTGGAACACCACCGCCACGATGTCATTTCCTATGTGGCGTTTCCTCTGGAGCTGAAAGAGATCGTCATGTTATTGTCGTGTTACAGTGTGACATGTCGTGTTTTTGTTGTTGTAATGTCTCATCTTGTCAGGTCAGGTTCAGCTCGACAGCTGTGTCATATGTTCACGTCACATGTTACATCTTCTCATGCTGTTATGTTATAACGTGTGTCGTGTTCTCTCAGGCTAGATCTTGCTTTATGTGAAGCTGATACACGACATCCTGCCTCGTCATGTTAGAGTCTGTCACTCATGCTGTTTGCTGCACAATACTGGGTCAAGTCTTATAATGCTGAGTCATGTTGCGTCCTGCTGAGTCATGTTGTATAATGCTGAGTCATGTGGTATAATGCTGAGTCAGGTGTCCTGCTGATTCATTTTGTGTCCTGCTGAGTCATGATGTCTACCTGCTGTGTGTCTCCCTCAGTGAAGGGCAGTTTGGTTGAGACGTGGAACATGATCTCTTGCTGTCGGTGGACGGTGTAGACGGACTGAGAGCCCGTCTGACCGTGAGACACGTCCAGACCTCCCCGAAACCTGCACAGGGGGAGGAGGGACACCTTTTAGTTACAGCTCCTCCTCCTCCCTGCTGGACGTACGTCATCACTGGACTTTATTATTGTCCATTAAAATACAACATGAAGCAGAAATCCAGGTTCTGTTCCCAAAAATTAACTCTCAGTCTGAACCAGTCCGACTGCCACATGTAAACTAACTCTGACTGAAGCTTCCTGCAGTTTTCTGGACTCTGACTGGTTATAAACATGACTGATTCTTCGTCCTCACCCTCTGAAGTCCTGCAGCTCCACCGTGTCTCCCAGCAGCTGCAGGAACTCGGTGAAGGCCGGCGTCTCCTCGTTGTTCCTGAACAGCTCCTCCTCAGACACCTGACGGACAGGTGAGAATGTCATCAGACCCACGACACGTTCAGGCACATGTTCACATCTGTTTCATTAACACTGTGGTTATCGTAAGGTTAGGTTCAGGATCAAACACTACTGGGTTATAGTTAGAAAAAGATCATGTTTTGGTTTTAAATATACCCCAAAAATCACCGCTGGAGACGCAGCGATGTCTCTGTGAAAAACAGCTGCTTTTCATGGCTCCACGCTGACAGGAAAAAAACACAAGTTGCTAAAAAAAAAGGTTGTTACCTGTCCAAATCTCTGGTAAATGACTCCAAACTTGAAGGTGTTGTTCACCTCATGTTCATCGTAGTTCACAATCAGCTGAGATGCCTGATGACAGACAGACAGACAGACAGATGGACGGATGGACAGACAGATTTAATAGAAATCGGTCCAACATGAGCTCCTCTGTGATTCAGCAGACACGTGTTGGTGCTCACCTTGGGGTAGAGGACGGGGCTGAAGCGCAGACCTGCAGCGTCGTCACACAGCAGCTTCGGGAGGAACCACACACAGTTAGAGAGGTGTTTACGCAATAAACAAACAACAAAAATAAATTCTGATTTATTTTTTTTTACATCAGCTGCAGCACTGAGACAACATATGATCAACTTGTTGTGCGGCAGCTGAGCTACAATGAAAAAAAGTGTGCAATTTGGGCCATTAGGAGCAATTTGGGTTCAGTATCTTGCTCAAGGAGGGGCCAGGGATCAAACCGCCGATCTTCCAATTAGAGCAGCACACACACCCTCTGAACCAGGGGACCAAAACCACTTGTGTGTTTATAACTTCACACTACTTTACATACACTGCTACATGTAGCTACATGCTAACGTCAGGGAAATCATGCTGCTGATGTGTATTTCAGATCAGACACTATTCTCGTTCGTTGGTCAGTCCTCGGCTGCAGTGACGGTGCAGAGAAGCGGAGATAAACACTGACCAATCACAGCAGACTGTGCTTGTTTGGGAGGAGAGTCTTGAAGAGACAGGCGCTAAAACAGAGCGTCTCTGACAGCAGGTGAACACAGGTGTTTCAGCAGAGACAGGATGAGGAAAATAAAGAGTTGTCTGAACATTAAAGCATATAAACATGTAGTAGTTACGTATGAACCTGAAAACGAGCAGAATAATTCACCTTTAAAGTCTTAAAACATGAAAGTAAAGAAGCAGCAGCTCAGAACAGAAGACGTCAGACCCAGAAAATAATTCAGTGTTTTTCTGATGTGACTTTTGTTTTATATTTTAATGTGACTGATTCAGTTAATTTCTATCGGCTTTATCCTTCAGCTGTGTGTTTGTGTTACCTTGGCGAGCTCTGGTACACTGGGGATGTCGGGCAGCTCTGTCAGGGACAATCTGTGGTAGATGCTTTTCACCCGAGACCTGCAGAGACACGAGACAACACACACCTCAGAGACCTGAACCTGATGGATAAACCTGTAAAAAACTGATTCAAACAGGTCGTTTACATCTTTGGTTACAGGTTAAAGTGAAGCAGATTAAAATGTGTTGTTCTCTTTTTCATCAGCCAAATATAAAGTCTGTTAAATAATGAAGGTAAGCACAGTGTGAGCGCTGTGTTAACTACTTTAACTTGAGAGAGGTCTGAAGCTGTGTCACAGTTTAGTTTCTTTGACCTGGATGTGAAGCAACTGCAGTCACATGACACATTGTTTGGGTTAAACATGAGCATGTTACAGTCCTGGAGGATTATTAATGTGCACCTCCTCCTGTACTGCCTTAATATGCACATTCAGCACATCCAATGCATCAAAACATTGTTTTCTAGTTGGAGCCGCGCCTCGTTTTCAAACTGTATGGTTTGACTAAAATGAACAATGACAGCAATATAGTCCACGATGAGCAGCGCTAAAATCAACCTGCGTAGTTGTCCCTCCATTGTGACATTAGAAAGTGTCACATTTATCTTGCAAGTGTACTCTTCTTCAACGTTTGCTTTACTTCCTGGATTTTTCCCACATGGAAATTCTGACCAATCAAGAGCAGCTTTCTCACACAAGGCATTTGATCTGGTCCTCTTGTAAATGCTGCCGTGAGAACACCAACCAACTCTAGGCAATTATACAACTTTGGGACAACATGAGTCCCTGATTCAGACCATAGGAGACCACTCTAGGGCTGACAGCAGCTTAAATCCAAACCTACCGTACATGACTGGACCACGTGGGATTTTAATTTGAAAGGACAGACACAGGAAGTGTCCACGTTCAGCAGTCAGACAGGAGTCAGGTTAATTTCCAGGGCTGGTACCTGCGGTTATTCCACAGGCTAGTTAATAACATGTCGGGCAGGAAATCCAAAGTGTGGGATCATTTTGAGAAGGTGAAGGACGAACCCAAGGTGATATGTAAACTCATCTTCATTGGTCGACTACAAACATGACGTATCATCTGAAACATGGAAGTAGCTACATGCCCATTAGCCCACAGCGTCATTAACAGGCGGCTCGCTCAGTGTGTGACGTGCACTTGGAGATAAAATATAGGCCTATATTAATGAAGGTTCATTAGTACGGTTTGTATTTCTCTGTAATGTAGCACAGTGTTAACAATGTTACTGATACTATTCTTTCTCACATCTTCAACTCAAACCACCAAAATATATCATTTAATCATTACATTCATATCAGACACATGAAGTTAATGTTTGTACCTGATGATCACATGAAGGGACTCCTGCTCCTTCTCCTCCTCGTGTCTCACAGACAGCAGCAGATTTCCAACACTGCTTGATGAGCAGGAGAAGTTCAAATGTTCCTGAGATGGATGGACAGAAACAGGGAGACATAAGAGACAGAAACAGAGCGTCAGAAACAGACAGACAGTCAGAAACAGAGCGAGACAGAAAGTCATTATGCAGTGTCGTCAGGAATTCCTGCTCTCTGATTGACTATCAGGTGTTTGTGTTCATGGTTTACTGCGGCGTCGACTGGTTAGTGTGTGAGCTAAAGCGGAGCAAATATACAAATACAGCATACACTTAGAGAAATACTGATTTATTTTTTGGTAGGTAAAACACATTTTCCGGCAGCCTCGTCCACAGTACACAGCAGTACGATGCTCAGCTTCCATGCTGGTAGATGTGGTTTATTAAAGATGACAACAAAGCAACACAGAACATAAAGTAATGGCATCAGGAACATCAGGCCGGTCGGACCGCCATGTTTAACTGTTACGGCTGAAAATGACAAAGAAAGATTCAATGGCCAGTTTTCTATCAGGAAGTGAGTGTTGTTCGCGTGATGTCACGGGGATCTGGTCTCTATTAACCTGTACGTAACCATAGCAACAGACGCTTCAGTTCTCACCCTGCCTAGAAAGTGCTTCCTGTACGCCCGGGCAGCCTCACTGATCTCCTCCAGTCTGTACCCATAATCCCCTGGGGGTCTGTCTTCCTTCTCTGTTCCTGCCCCCTCCTCCTCCTCCCCTTTGATCTCCAGGGAGGCGGGAGGAGGTGCAGGAGGCGGAGGAGCCTCAGGATCCTCGATCCAGTAACCTCCGAACTCCGGCAGGATGACCTGAGGATACGGCTCGCCCCTCTCCAACACCTACAACACACACACACACAGCCGGATATGTTACCCAACATGCATTGTGACAGGCGTCATTGCACCATCTCTACTCAAAATCAATCTAAGGTGCTTCAAAGAAACTAATGTGACATTAGTTAGCTAATCTAGATTCATTCTGACTCCAGTCTCACGGATCAGATTATCTAAATCTGAATCACGGGGGGCGGACATACAAATTATTTTTCACTTTTGTAAAAGATAAGAAAATATTGTCATTATCAGTCTCTGCAAACCATGGATACACTTGTACGTTTTTATAAGTATCGTATCAATATTTCTAAAGCAACGTATTTGGGCTAACTTTGTCGTCAGGAGGTTTTGTTGCAAGTCATCTCTGCATTTCCTGCCAGGATAGTGCCACGAATAACAACTGGTTTTACTGAGACAATATTGCGTGGCACAAGTGCCACAAGAAGCGGCTTGTTTGTTTTTTGTTTGTTTTTGACGAAGAATTTGCCATGTTCCTGTCAGGATAGTGCCACAAAAAGTTGTCATTTTTGACCGATACATCCCTTTGTTTCCTGCCGGGATAGTGCCATGAATAGCATTTTTTTCCCCTGCCATTTTAAGCTGTTTTAAGCTGAAACATGAGCCGTAACCAAGTGATTTTTGTGAGTTAATATAACCACATTCACCACAGTATTGTTGAAACACAAAGATTCAGTTTATATGCCAGAGTCCTGCACTGGGTTGGGTACCCGCGGGTACCTGCAAAAACAGCTGATTTGCGGGTGGTTTTTAAAAAAACATTTTTTCCCGGGTTCTGATCTGGGTGGAAAAAATAACATGCGGGTCGGATTGTGGGTTTTAGATAAACACATCAGTCATTAGTTCGGTAAACTACAGATAACTATCTTGGTCATTATTTACTCTCTGAGGATCGCCTCCACTATTTCGCAACGGTCACTGGTTCAGCTGTTTATACGTATTTCACCATCTAATAACACAATTTGTGATTGGACGACAGAATCATCATGGCTGCCACCGTCTAACAAGCACCGCTTCCAAAACAGTAAATAATTATTTAGGTATTTGAGAAATAAGTGGATAAAACGTACAACTATCACTTTATAATGTTTCTGAAGTGTTTCCCTGATGGATTACTTCTCTCCTCGATGGATTCTAAAAACACGTGACGGCTCGTAACTGCTGAACGTCGCTCTGGACAGAAAGTAAGTCTATTATTACACATGTAAAGTTCCTTTACATAGATTAAAAGTTTAAAAGCATTAAACGTAACAAACGAGTGCTTTTACACTCGTATGGGAGAAGAACACAGAGGGTTGATGATGGAGCTGAAGTCAGGTTTTTATTGTGAGAGCTGCTTCATTCAGGTTGTTGTTTACTCACTGGCACCTTAACTGTGGCGATATGCTGTTCAATATTCAGCCAATATGACCCAAAATGATTACTTTAAATCCGGGTTACGGGTCGGGCTGCGGGTCGTGTTTCAATGGGTCGGACTGGGTTGCGGTACTAATTGGCCTGATGCGCGGGTTTGAGGTTCAGGTGCGGGTTTATACGTCACCGGGTTGGGTCGGATCTTGAAAACTGGACCCGTGCAGGACTCTGTTATATGCTACATTATAATGTACAAATGTAACTTACCCTCAGTTTGATAAAATGAACAATGCCAACATTTTTTCTGCTGACTGGGTTGCACATTTATCAGACAATTTATCGTAAATGAAAAGAGAACGGTCTAAATTCTTGTATTTCTTGTCTCCTGTGCTTTAAAGTACCAACACCTCTGTAACAGTGACCTCGCCTCACTCATTCACTGACTTCCTGTTGGTTTCTGTCGGGATGCAGAAGCCTTAATTCTGCATTTCAAAGAAACAGATGTTGAGTCTCACCTCCTCGATCCTCGGATAAGGAATGTAGTCATCCTGAAAGAGGAAGACAGAGCCGTTACACACATTAAATACACACACACGCGCAGACATGCGCGCGCACACACACACACACACACACACACACACACACACACACAAACAAACTGCATGAGTGATGATGCTGAACGTGACAGATGGTCCAGTTTTTGTTCAAATAAACAAAATTAATCATCAGTTATTTTTAAGAGAAGCTGACTGTGTTTGATATGAGACATATCACACATACATGAACTATTAACAGTCCACTCCTCCGCTCGTCTCCACCTTATCGAAGGGAAAGGCTCCCTGTTGGGTCTCCTGAGGTGGTCCCAGGTGAGGGGCCTGACTAAGAGTGATTCACTGACCCTAAATGAAACTGCAGCATCAGAGCTGCAAAAGCTCGCCTGGTAACAGAGCAGCGCCCCCGCCTGAGCAAAAACTGTGAACGCAGCCTCCAGGGGTGAAAAGTGAAGCCATGCAGGAGTGTTTAAAAATGTTACGTGTTTTAAACTGTGCTCCTTCTGCTGTCTACATATCCACAGTCATGGATGGAGAAACAGTGAGGACACAGACACTGAGCTCTGCCTCTGTGTGGACACGAACAATATGAATGAAACAATAAGACAGTGTGAGCGGATGGACTTGAGGACAGACAGATGGACAGACGTGCCTTCTGTCTTGGAGGGATTGTCTTCATCTCAGCAGCTTCTGGCACCTGCTGCATCAGCGTCAGGAATAGAAACACAGTATTAAGACTGTCTGATCGTCAGCTTTGAGCTCCTCGATCCCTCCCTTTAAATCAAAACTTAAAACCTTTCTTTTTAAGACGGCTTTTAACACTTTAGATTGTTATGACATGTTTATTTTGTGTTTTTTTTTATTGCTGTCCTTTACTGTTGTTCTTTTGCTGTTTTCTATTTTATTTTATTGTAAAGCACTTTGGTCACCCTCTGGGCTGTTTTAAAGGGCTATACAAATAAATAAACTTAACTTAACTAACTAACTTAACTCCTGAAGAATGTATCGTTTCATACGTCACTCAAACTTTGTGGGGGACTATTTTCAGCCGCGGATTAATCCACATTTAAGCATTTGCAGGACAGTGGATAAAATAAACTACACTGATGTGTTTTTAACAACAGTGGAGAAAGAGATGTCAGGCCGTAGATACACACAGTGTAACAGACAGAAATAAAAGAAAAAACAATTTATTATCAAACATTTAAAATGTCAAGAAAATAACCCAGGTATCAAAAACCTTTTGTGGTCAGAAGGGGAAGAAATACTGTGTTAAATTAAGTTAGGTATTTGTTATTATATGTACCCCGTCAACGTATCCTCATATGACAGTTTGTATAATATCTTAACAAAAGTTACATACTTAACTTAAAGTTATGTAGGTTAGGTTTAGCAGAGTAAAATTACATAGGTCATGGAATAGAAACATGGTTGGGCGTCATCATGTTACGCACTTACAGCAAAGTTACTGTTGGTTTTAGAAAAATAAAATTTCATAGGTTAGGGTTAGATTCATGAAAACAAACATGGTCAGGCATCGTCACCTTCCATACTTAACGTAAAGTTCTGTACTTAACTTAAAGTTCCATGGGTTAGGTTTAGTGAAGTAAAGTCACATAGGTTAGGAAAAATGTAGTTAGGTGTCTTCATGTTACGTACTTAACATAAGTTCCATTCCTACCATGAAGTTACGTAGGTTAGGTTTAGGAAAAGAAACACGGCTAGGCATCGTTATGTTATGTACTTAACGTAAAGTTCTGTACTTAACATGTAGTTATGTAGGTTAAGTTTAGGAAAAGAAGCACTGTTGGGCGTTGTCCTTCAAAACGTCAACATTTGAATGCCCCACAGCTTTTTTTTTTTTTTTTTTTTGCATGAATTTTGAATCACAGTTACAAATAAAAATGAGGCTACACTAAAGTTATAAATATTATACTGTTTGTTGAATCAGATTCCAGCGATGGCTGCATACAACTGTTTCTGACTCATGTGAGTGGAACATTTCCAACAGCTAATAAGAGAGCACTGTGAAGTCCACAACTCAAGATATACTGAAAAAGATAAATGTAACCATTGTTTTTATCAATCAAAATATTCTCATTCTTTAAATATATTAATTTTGTTGCCTGATGATGAAAAAATAATCAATTTGTCCCCGTATTTAATCACACAAACACACACTGGTTATCATTACAGCTTTCACAGCAGGATGGACATTCATATCAGTAAACCATGACGAGTTCACGTAAAGCAGATTTCAGATTAAATTCTTACCTCCATCTTGTCCATCATGTCAAAGAAATGAGCCGACTGGAGACAAACAGAGAAAAATGTGTGTTAATGTTGAGTTTTGTTTGTCAGTGCTGAAAGTTTTTGTTTTGGGATTTACAGTAAAATGTGCAATAAATTCATCAATAAAAGTTGGTATTGACATGAGCACGAATAAATAGATAATTCTTACTAAAATATGATTACATATATTTATAAAAGTGGGTGAATTAGACGTAAAGGTCTCCAATATAAACCTGTTTCAAATTAAAGGTCCCCCTCCAGGTGAAGTAAATGAAGGTCCTTGTATAGCAGTTAAAAATCATGGTCCTCAGATGAACATATGGACAGAAGTGTGTGTGTGTGTGTGTGTGTGTGTGTGTGTGTGTGTGTGTGTTACCTTCATGGTGGGGGGTGCGGTGCGGGGGGGAGAGGGGGGGCAGTCTCCGACAGCAACATTGGAGATGGTCAGGAGCTCCTGTTTACTATGAATAAAAACAATAACTTGTTTGCAATCATGACGCGAAATTCAGATGGAGGACAGGAAGTGATGAATCCAAACACTGCGTGACTTTAAACAGGAAAGTGAGACATGAGAGGGCTGGATGAACCTGCAGGCAGCAGGTGTCGTCTTATTAAAACTCATGTTGGATGTGATTTATTTAAAACAAAGAAAATACATTTTTCCCACAACTTAACTGATGCTCCCAGTGGGGACATGAACATCGCTACAAATAACCTCGTCCTCCTGACCTCCGAACTTTGCTAACGTTACATGGTGATAAAAGTGTACGGGAGTCTATAACAATTTTGTGTGCAGCTGTGTCGACGACTGAAACAACTACTGTCTTATTTTTGGCCAGCTGAGTAAATGTGCTTGAGTTTAACTTTCTTTAATATTTCAACTCTTTACATGGTTGCACCACTGTCAGCTTCTATTTTATACGCACTACGTCAAATGTTTCCAGAGGTCTGGTGAAATGTTGGTAGGCTTACGTTATTAGGTAATGATAGCTAACTTTAGCTACTGTTGTCAACCTACTAGGTCAACTGTTTTCAGAGGTCTGGTAAAATGCTGTCAGGCTAACGTTACTCGCTAACTTAATTTCTAGCCACTAGGTGTTCCCTGTTCTCAGAGGTGTGTCCAGTGAAACGGTGTTAAAAATCTGGGTTGTGGCTAAAAACATGGAGAAGTTGCCACAGCACATTGTAAAGCAGCAAACTTGGGGCATGTTGAGCTGACTTCGCTCCACCAGACTGTTGCACCTGTTTTGTTTCTACTTATACCTTTACGTCCCAGTGTTTTCAGGACTTAAAAGTAACCTTTGGTTTTTCCTGATTTAATCAACTGGAACATCAGTGCAGGTGTTTTTACACCTTCAGTTGTTGCCCTCCATCTGGACAGCTTTTACTTTCTGACTTTGAATTGTTGCTGCAGCCACATTTCACCTTCATCACACAGTAAAATACAAAAAAATGCACTTCCTGTCCCGTGTGTGTGTGTGTGTCCTGATTTATCTGAGCGCTACACATCATCATCATCATGATTGTCACAGAGGAGCAATGAGTCTGTCTCTGAACATCGACCTTCAGTCTGTCAGGAGCCACACACAGTAATCACCATCCAGACGCCCTGAGGCAACAGCAGGCGAGCGGCTGAGGAAGGGGGCGGAGTGAAGATTGTCCTTCGGTGCACGGAGAGGAGAGAGGGCTTTTCACTGTGCCGATGGTGGCTTGGAAACCCCCCCTAACTGTGTCACACGGGCGAAAGGGAAGGTGGCTGGAGCTCAGCCGGTCCCCTTCTCCACACTGACTTATTTTATCCCTCTCTGGGAGCCTGGGCTCACCACGCAGCAGCCCACCACATCCATCCCTCCCTCCCTCGCGCCCTGCACATATACCCCCGACACTCGACTCTTTGTCATGGCCCTATGGTCACAGCGCAGCGGCCCTCCACATCCCTCCCTCGCAGCCCCGCACATAGTGTAGCAACCCTGCAGTGAATGTTCTGTTGTACTGTTAATGTTCTGTGAGTTAATGGCATGTTTTGGACTGAATGAGTATGGGTAGGGGTGCGGGGTGCGAGTGGGGCGGGAATGAGGGCTGTGTGAGTGTGTGTGCTTGTGTGTGTGTGCGAGCTGGAGGAAAGAGCAGGAGTACATGTTTTGTGAGCTAACGTTACAGCTAAGTTCTTGTCTCGTTGTTTTTTTGGCGTGGTTACGGCCAACAGTAACCTGTACTGTGAAGCAATAAACGGTGGGTTGCCGAATAACCGCGTCATCATTCTACACGTCCTGGCAGACGCTACAATATACTCCCGAGCCTCGGCACCTCTCCTTGACCAACTAACCTAAATACTATAAACACACTACTAACTGTAAACCTACACTAAAATACACTATGCTAACAATACAATTCGACAAATTACTAGCTAATCTCTCTGCTCTGATCCAACCTACTCGCTATCAGTTTGATAACTGCGGTCAGAATGGTTTTATAGTAAAGGAAGGAGTAAACGGAGGAGGGCAGGCTTTAGTGGACGGTTAGTGACATCATTCGCCTCCAGTGTAATGTAATGTAAATTCAAATGTAGTAACCAGGTTTCAAGCTGTAGAGGGCACTCCACACCACATTTTTAAAATAAAATGTAGATTTTCAACAGTTTGCACTCAACTGTCAAGATTTTGAGCAGGATCAGTCAGTAACACTACTATACAACCAGAAACAATGATTATCAACTGAAAAAAATGGTTTTAGGGTTTAGTTACTCTTTAATAATAATGACTTGATTGTGATTTTGTTGATTAGAATTAAGAATCTGCTGACTCGTGACTTGTATCAGTGACTTGGACTTGAATATTGATGACTGAGCCTAAAAATGTATGACTCATACTTGAATATTGATGAGTCATACTTTGATTTAGACTTAGATATTAATGACTTGACTGGAATTTTGTTGACTTAAATTTAAAAACCCCTTACTTGTGACTTGTATCTGTGACTAGGACTTGAATATTGATGAGTCATACTTTGATTGAGATTTGAATAATATTGACTTGATCGGAAATTAACTGACTCGTGCTGAACTGACTTGTACTTGAATATTGATGTGTCATGACTTTCTTCAGACTTAAATGTTACTGGGTTGATTTAAATTGTGTCGACTAAAATTTAGAATCCGTTGACTTGTGACTTATATCAGTGACTTGGACTTGACCACTGATGACTCAGTTTTGAAATGGATGACTCATACTTGAATGTTGATGAGTCATACTTTCATTTCAACTTGAATAATAATGACTTGATTGGAAATTTGCTGACTAAAATTTATAAACCATTAACTCGTGACTTGAATCTGTGACAAGACTTGAATTTTGATGACTCATACTTGAATATTACTGATTTTATTTAAATGACTAAAATTGAAAAACCAGTGACTTGTGCTGAAATATAAATGATTTGGACTTGAACAGTGATGAGTCATACTTTAATTTAAACTATTAATGACTTAAATTTGCTTATTAAAATTTAGAATCTGCTGACTCGTGCTGAAATATCAGTGACTTGTACTTTAATATTAACGATTCATACTTTAATTTAGACTTGAATTTTACTGACTTGATTGGAAATTTGCTGACTAAAATTTAGAAACCACTGACTCATGACTTGTATCACTGACTTGGACTTAAATATGGATGACTCCATTGAATACTGACGAGTCGTACGTGGATTTAGAGTTAAATAATAATGAATCAAGATTTCATACTTTTGACTTATACACTGAAAACTCGTACACTGACTCAGATTTTAATTTGTTGACTAAAACTTGAAAACTGTCGACTTGGACCATACATCAGTGACTTGGACTTGAAGATGAACGACTCAGCTGGATATTAACGTGTCAAACTGTGAGAATGAAGAAAGTAAAACAGGTTCAATAAAACATTTCAGTTGAAAATAAATGAAAAAGCAGATTTAAGGTTTTCTGATATGACGAGAATAAATGATTAAATATTTGTTGTTTATGTAACACTGGTGAGATAAAATGGTCTAAATGTTCTTCATCCCTGGAAATCTCTCCCTGCCCTGCTCCTCATCCTCAGCCTTCCTCCTGTAGTGTCCTTTATGAAACCAAATTAATTTCACCAAACTGACATTTCCATGGAACACGAGATAAAAGAGGAACAGCCGGAGGGTCAGCAGCCACACAGTGAGGTTCATGACCGAGCGTGACTGAGTGTGACTGTGTGTGTGAATGCAGATGAGTCGGGCGTAAAGCCGGCAGTGCTGCAGAAAGGCCTGTGAAAGAAAACAAGAAATAAAAGGATGGAGCTCAACGGCAGCGACTGCCGGTGTAAATGAAGAATTTCACTACATTCAAGAGCTTGAAGCAGAAAAACAGGTTGATGTGATACAGTGTGAGATCATGTGTGTGAGAGGTATAGAAACTGTGGAGCAGAGGACGGAGACACAGATTCACTTTACAGAAACAGATTATTTCATGTAACTCTGGATCCGAAAACAGTTTTATGTCTGTCGTTAATTATGTCATTAATGGATGACGGATGATAAGGGAGCAAAAAACACAGGACTGACCCTCAACAGCACCGTGCAACACCTGGACAGTGTTTCCTGCAACAACTGGACGGTTCTCACTAACTTCACTCGCCTGTTAAACACTTGCCAACAGACCACACTGACACATACAGCCAACACTCAGGCAGCTCTGTCTACACTCTGTTAGTCCGTTTCCAGCACAGTTTCTGTCTGAACAGATTTTATTGTGAAGAAATCTGCATCGACCTGAGGACGACAGCTTCCTGTCCTGAGCTGACTTATTGCTTTTATTCAAAATTACAAAACTATCAGAAACTGAGAATTTGAGTCCTGAGAACTTTGAGAGTCCAGGAACGAAGACAAAGGTCAAAGAGAGACGACAACAAGACGACAAGAACAGAGAGGAAGGACAAGACACGAAACCTGCTGAGAGAGAAAAGGTCACTGTGTGTGTGTGTGTGTGTGTGTGTGTGTCTCCTGAGCTTCAGTTTAAAATAAAACCAGTCGCACTTCTGACTCGACTCTCAGCTGGTTCGTTATCGCCGCTGACAGCTGTGTGTCACAGCCCATCACATCATCGTCCTCACATCAAACGCACAAACACACACACACACACACACACACACACACACACACACACACACACACACTCACACACAAGTTAACATGATACACTGATGTCAAATACTCCTGCGGGCCGTTCCCACAATGCAACACGCCTCCAGAGTCTTTTCATCACAAACGACACGTTGAGTTTGAAACCAAACAACAACAACAAAGAAACCGAGCAGGTTGTTCACAGTGCAGGAACTTTCCCCGGAGAACAGGAACCTTCAGAGGAACTCGGTACTTAAACCTGCGTTTGGACCAGAGGAACCAGGAACTAGATTTAGTTCCAGATGTGAAACAAACCGACCTGCTGTGGGGG